CCTTTTTATCAAAAGAAAGGCTTTCTCAAGAACCCCCTCCCCCTGCAACAGCTAAATCTCTTAGAAAAGACTATGGAAAACTCCTAATTCTCATCCATCGGTTTTCATAGTGTCTTGAAGATGTTTAAATCTTTTACTGTTTTTGATGTAAGAAGGAAAGGCCGAGATTAATTTGAGGCATTTTTATCATGCTCTACCTCAACCTTCTTGTTAGCTGGTAATGAGGCTGCCGACGCAATAATCTGATGGTCAACAGTATCAGGCCATGGTTGAGAACTGTTGTCGAGAAAGAAACAAAATACAATTGCGTTATGCCGCCGCCGATTACACATGTATTTAAGAGTATTACGTTTAGGCAGCATCGTATTTTGATTAAAGCCGCATGCCAGGTGCTTGAAGAAAAAATTATGCTTTCCTCAGTTCTTAGGGAGGCTGAGACCGCCAGCAGCCTGTTTTTCGTGAGCAGTGGGTTTCTTTACATATATATGCCTATATGATTTATAACAAGTAAAAAGCATAGATCATTTGTATAAAGGGTATTAGCCCTCGAAGTCCAGGGTAACATTTTTATGACAGGAGAGCAGTATGCATTTTCAATTTATTTTTATTGTATCAACCACTAAATATCATTAATTCATTCTGGTGGTACCTTGGAAGTCAAACCTAAACGTTGAAACCAACACAATATTGTCTAGGCTCGGTCTAGGCACATTGAATTGTAGAGCAATAATTTGCTTCAGTATGGAACATTATTTGATGCGTCTTACTAAACTGTAGAATCGCACATTTTAATGTTGGTTCCATGTGTTTTGAGGCACACAAACATGGGCAGTGGTCACTAGTAATTTCACGCCTTGGTTGAATGTTTATGCTCAAGAGAAGGTATTCCTTTATGCCAAGCATAAGCAGAAGAGATATTTACTACCTGTATGACGTCAGATCGCCACGTATCCAAGATACCTGCGTCACACCTACAAGCAAAGTAACTATGCACACCATAAAACACATTTCTAAAGATCAAAGATTTCGGCCCTGTTTACAATAGGTACTATCATCGGCATTATCGATGAGATCATATGTTATGATCATTATGATAAATTTCACGCTACCTTGCCCATTGTAAATTTTAATGTCTTATCGCTTAGCTTACTGCCCTGAATGTGCCCGTGGCGCCAAGACAGATGAAAATAATTTTTGCATTGTCTATACACCTGCTTTATAGTGATAATAAGAAATATACATGATAGGTAATACTTTGGACGAGGAAATTGCCATTTTTAATGAAATCTTGACTAGGGTTGCATCAAAAGGTATCTTGTTGTATCTTCTTGCGTCACTCTTTGCTCGATTCAACGATAGAGGCTGGGACACCGAATATCGAATGGAGAGGTACTGGGTGCAATCCATTTTCTAGAAACCAATCATCCTCTGAGAGCATCTTTTTCATCAATAGTTTTGTGGCTTACATGTAAATATATTTCAAACGCTATGGTCGACTGAAAAAGAATGCCTAGCGGACATTCTTTTCTCTTTGTAAAATGGTTTACATCACCGTAATTAACCTTTACGCAAATCCAATCTCAAGAAGCAAATCGGATTCAAATTTCTAAATTAGTCACGTCGAAGCGTTTGGCCTCTATGGTACAAGCTTCCGATTCGAGTGAATTGGCCTAAGTTGGCCAGCTTACCCTTGACAAGCCAAGTCATTTATTGTGGTCAGGTTTAGGGTGTAGATATTGAATGAATTTTTCAGCAGCAGAAAGTAGCAAAAGTCTCTATTGTGTTTTAGAAGGGCTTATTTCCTACACAATATCATGCAGGTTATGTTCAGCGAAGCATTGTGCTTACAAGTCTGCCACCGTGACCTTTGTAAACTAATTCTCACGCATTCACTGATACAGGACGCAATGTAACTCCCTTACACTGCGTATGTTATTTTTTTTAAAAAGCTTCCAATAGAAAGTAAACTTGTATCGACAGGACGAAACACGCGTAACACGTTCTTCAAAGACACATAGTATTGAGCTTGAAACACAAAGAAAATTTTTAAAAAAAGGATATTGAAGTTTCCCCAAAAATGTGCAAACTTAAATTTTAAAAAAGTCAAAATTTAGAATAAGCAACCCCCCCCCCCCATTTGTGAATAAGCTCCCATCTTGAATAAGCTCCCAATCTTGCAGAGAAGGTTTGAGCAGTGTAGCCAAAGCATTGGGGGGGGGGGGGGATTTGTTTAAACATTTACAATACAGGCCCTTGGCCCTTAAATACTGAAGATGTTTATCACATTACTGTTAAAGCTCATCCAAATAGAAATTACCCAACTTTCAATGTTGATATGATTGCTGTTAGTTGAGAATGCAGTTTTCAATGATCGAAATATTTCATTTTAAACTCAACTTAAACTACGAGTCCAAATCTCACAGATACAAAGGTAGTTTGCAGTTAGCCTGGGTTTACAATAAAAGACCATTGCAAGCACAAAAGTTAGAATAAAGAAAAGAAAAAAATTGCTTGTCATTTGACTGTTTCAGAAGTTGTCCATAGAAGAAAGTTTTAGAATTCTTGAATTTCAGGATTATTCCAAGATTTAATAATGTTTTTAAATCTTATCATTCAATCTATCATCAAAGAAATATAATTCTTCGCCTTGCTTTTATTAGGCAGTGTCCCATTGACGCCTTGTCCTTCCAATAAAGTAAACAAATGAAACTTAAAATGACAGGTTAAATAATAAAATAAGAACACGTACACGTTAGAGTCCATTAAGTCGGGATCAGTCCGAGGTTTATTTCTTTAAAAAATAGAAAACAGGAACAGCGTATTGTTATGTTCATAACTTCTGATAGAAGTCTGTGCTGGAGAGTTCCATTAAAGTCTAGGTCTTTCGGTATATTAGAGAAAGAAAACAGAAGAAGCCAGAATCCCAATGTCTCCAATCGATACGATCCAATCGATACAAGTGAGCTTTACGACATAACAGACAATTCAATAACTACACCAATGATAATTAACATAATAATTATAATTATTATTAACTTTTCTAAGGTTGGCATGATGGCAGCTGCAAAGCTTATTTTATTTGTGATAATTCCAGAAATTATACTTTTGAAGATAGATCTAATCAGAAATTGCATACGTTTATAGCATTTTGGTTGATCACGCCATCTTCGTGAAACAAAAATGTGCCGATCATGTTTTCACTTTTGTACCTTATGTTTTAAAAAGTGCCTTTGAATAGTTTTATTTAACGATTAATAGAAATTCATTGTAGAACCTCTACCTTGTGCTACACGATATCATGTCCTCTTAGCAACCGGAGGAGTAATGCTATACAACGTGTTATATCAATTGCAATTATGCATCAACCAGCCAAGGCTTCTTTTCACCTAATTAAAGTAATTAATCTGCTAGTAGTTAAATCTTTAAACCGACAGTTTTTTATTTTATATTTTCAAATTATTGATCAAGCAATAACTTTCATTTTCCAAGCTATTAGATTTCTCCTGTTCTTTCATCATCAAATATCCTTTGCTTGTGATTGAAATATCAAAATACATTACCTGCAGCTTTGAATGGGGGGAGGGGGGTATGATAGTGGGTAATACTCCATAAAGAACTCACACCGATGAACTCATTTTGCCATCCAAACTTCAAATGATGATTGTGTGAATGATCAAGCTCTAGACTTATTCTATACCCTATGTTTCTAAACCTTGTCATCATCCTTTTGTCTTGTAAGAATTTGTAAAGAGCCAGAAGAATACCAAAAATTGTTTTACTGTCGACATTTTGTCGTGAAATTCTTACATATGCCGATAACGAGGAGAAAAATTTTATCTATACGAAACTCGGAAATTTTCAGATTTTCAGAGATTTTGGAAATATCTAGGTGTTATTATTTGTAAAAGAAAATGATATCTTCAGATCTTCGTGAAAAGCCAGGAAGTTACTAGTTCATTAGAATTTTGATTTCTCTAGTTGGAGGTGCAGTTTTGTTGTCTTCAATCATTCCTCAGCGGTTTTATGATTAAAAGTCGTATAAATCTGCTCTTCAGAAGCATTAAACACATTTCTCGATATAAGAATACCGAGGATCAAAATTGGCAGAGTTTATGAATTAATTACGAATAATAGCATGGCTCAAAAGCTCGTCAAATGGTGTTTTTTTTAGAAAAATATTAGTTTTTTCCCAAGAATTAAAAGTTCATTAGTTTCTTTTTTAATTGCTCATTGAAAACAAGTCTGATTTTTTTATAGGTTATTGCTAGGATAGGCATTATGGAAACAAAAACCTATGCGATGATGTCAATTAAGAATAATATAAGAATTTACTTGTGCTCTATTTGAACATTCTCAAGATAAAAAGACTCTGAAGGAAAGAAGGTATTCATATAGCAAGTATCTATGGGGAATAAGAAGAGCCTGCCCTCCACCCATGGTCACCTGTGATATAGGCCTACCGATCTAATCATAAAAACGAATGATATCATTTGACCTTTTGAAGTTGAGGCTGGAGCCTATATAAGGCCTTTTTGCAGCAAAATTTCCATATTCATTTGCAATCTTTGAAAAAAATTTATGAATAGATTTTTTTCTCACAAGGGTCATAGAAATAGAAGTTCTTTTGTTTTAGCGCAGCGTAGATTGCAATGAAATTTCATGTTTTAATGTGTTTGCATTGATTATGATATATTGATTTCCTGCTTTTTATGCGCTGGGATCATTTGCGTTGTCGTGCAAAAATCCCGTCATTAGATTGAGGGCAGCCTAGGCAAAACACCAGTTCTTCGTGCGGCTTTTTAACGCTCAGAATTTCGTGCGGCTTTTGACTTCTTTTGTCGGAAGGCCGTCTACAGACAGTGATACGTCTTAGGTGTTCTTCCATTAACCAACTGAATAAAAAGTGATTGCAATTTCTTTTGTTTACCTGTCATGTAGTTCACGCAGAAGAACAAAACGTGAAATGGCTTGTTTGAATGGCCTATTGTTTTTTCTTTCAGCTACTGGTTGAACACTGCACGAATCATGCCCTGATTGGTTGATTTACTTAGAAAAACATGCGCAGAAATTAACAGCTGTCTGCGCATTTATTGTGGTCGCCAGTCGAGGGTGTCAACATGCAGATCTCGGCACACTAGCATGCGAATGAATTTGACAACAGAGAATGCTCTGATCACGAACTTCGCTAGGCCCAGCGGCTAGAAACTGGCGGTTCATGAATAATTTGTCTTTAATGTTTATGGAGAAACCTTTCCTGCGGCAAGAAAGTGACAAATGGAAAGGAATGTTTGGCCCTTCGACCTCAACTATGAGCATAGTTGTTGAACTCCTATGCTATACAACGTGTTATCGACAGGGCGGCGATGCCGAGAAGTTTGCACGTAGGGCAATAGAATCACTTGTAAAGAAACTGAGAAAGAAAAGTGATGAACTGGAAAGCCTCGTGGCCGCCATCACAACGAAGGGAAGGCAACCAACGAAATGCGTGACCATACCACGAACCCTTGACGGCAGACTTCAGGTCTGCGAGAGAAAAGGATTTCCTCATGTGATATATGCGCGACTCTTCAGATGGCCTGATATCCACAAAATGGAACTTCGACACTTAGATTGTTGTCAGTTTGCATTTGATTTGAAGTATGACGTCGTATGTGTCAACCCTTACCATTATGACAGGATATCATCTACCCAAGCATCAGGTATGTCCCTTTTCCTTTGATTGTATTAGTTCTGATCGCCTAATCATCGAATCACTTCATCCTAAAACCCTAGGTTATGTCATCGTTTATGTTAACAACCGCACTATCGTTTTTAGAACCCTCCAGTTGGTGTCAAATTTTTTCCCCGCTTACCCATTTTATGGTATCAATGCTATACCCCCATATACAAATATAGATAAGTTCTGGTATTGTGTTTCTCAATCCACTAGGCATAGTTTTCTCCGTCCGAAAAGCTCTCCTATCGCAGGACTTACACGCCGGTTGCTAGCGTGACCTCCTCGTCCATGAGAATCCAGTCCAACATCCTCATCTCTTGTAAAAACATTTGATATAAAAACTTCATTTTCAGTACTTTTTCTGCTCCCCTCCCCCTTTACATCACCCCTCCATGATGCTATGTAAACTGTATTACCAGAGGATACTAGAGGGAGATCAAGGTCCTGCCCTTCACTTCGAAAATGGAAGGGAGAGGCCATTTTAAGGCCAATCTTACACGCTGATAGTAACTTTGGTGGAAGTTCGGAATCTTTTCTAAAACAGTTAAAGTTGTGGATGCAATCGTATTTCTATCGATAAAACGATAGATTGTTTGCTATTTTGGTGAGGCAACGTCATTAAATGAACAAAATAGCTCAGGTTGAAATGAGGATGGCCTTGGCTTGTTTACTCAACAACATCGCAAGGAGCTATTGAATACTCTATCCAAAGGCAACAAGACCACTCGAAATGCCTTCACCATATAAAATACCTCGTTTCTACTTCATTTAGGCTCTTGATGAATAGAATATTCAATAATTTTTATTCCGTTCGTGGTTGACATTTCATTTATAACGGGACGGCTGGTCTCTGTCACAAGCCACCGTTCACGGAAAGAGGCATCTTTCCCTGTCCATTAATAGCTCTTGAGTTTGAAATTTTATTTTAAAGAAACGTGTTTTTTCTTGGTTTGGTTGAAAGTGCTTCTATGATTGTGATTCTACAACTTTAACCCTTGACCTCATCTGCTACTGTGCCCTTTCGGAAGCGTTTCCAGGCTTTTTCTCCGCGTTAAATTCAACGCGCATTGCTAAGAACTTTCTAAAATGTGGCTCAAAAGCTGCTAATACCCTAAAAAAATTATCAGTTTTTTGCCATTTTTACAAATTTTAAAGATTTTTAACTGAAAATGGGCTTGATTAGGATATATCGGCAATTAAAGGTGGCGGGCATCTGTTCGCGCACACCGCCTGTCTCCACTCTGGCTCCGTCGAGCTTTAGGCCAAGGAAATGCTAAGAAAGACACATTCAACTGAAATCTAAATATGATCATGCACCCGATTACCGATGAAACTTAAATCTGCATCTAGAAAAATTTCCAACAAAGTAGTCTTTTCATTCTTCTTATAACATTTGTATCCTGTATAAAACATAATCTTTTTGTAACTAACCACTGCGTGCGGATCAGACAGCGTGTTTTGTCCTATTCATTAGAGAAGTAGAGGATACACTCGCAAAAATGTGCTATATTCTGATGGCTGCTCTTCGCTTTCTTCTGGTTGTAAGTTCATGTTTCATGTATTACTTGGATTCAACGCGAACTATTCTATCTTATATTCTCACTGCTCCTTCTCTAATATTATGGACTGAGTCGACCCATCCAACGTGCTTGCTGTCATTTCAATGTGCTAACCGATCGGATATTAAACTCCCGATTAAAAATTCTAGGCAAAAGTAAAGTAAGGTAAACTTTTTTCAATCATCTCCTCGCTTGTTGAAATTTAGCTCTGCCTAACCTTCTTCGTTTCTGTTAACCTGATTTAGGGTCTATTTGAAAGCAAGATAAAATAAGAGAACCTTATTTTATCTTGTTGAAAGTGAATCATCATCTCACCTCTCTTTTTCTAGTTTTTTAAATGATCCATATCAACCCTGAGGCAACGATCTTTAAAAACTCATGAATTTTCTTACAGAATTAAACCTCAAAAGTAAGAGTTTAAAATCATGACTAATCAATGTTGATCAGTTGAAAAGAAAATAGTCGTTTTCAAAGGAATTGCACTTTGTTAGTAGCAAAAGGTTCAGGACGTTATAAACGATGAAATTCCAATGTGTCATTTCAAATTTGAAGATGGATTGCTGGTAGCTTTGTTTTGCTTACTTATTGAAATGCAAATTTAGTGTTTCATAATTTCAATTTTTAGGCAGTTTGGTGATTTAAAGGGTTGTGTATACTTGCTTTTGATAAAAAGATGAGAGTGTCAAGTTCATGTTTTGGGTGTAGCTTCCCTTCAGAGACAAATAAGTAGCCTCTTAATCCATGACTGTTTCACAAAATACCAAATGTAAAATTGTTCTTCTTAATCCAATTGAATAAATATATATAGATATTTTCTTTTCTGCATATTTTTCTGCATTTGATTTTTACTAAGGCCAAGATCTTTCCCTGCCCTCTGCTTTTCATATTCTCATCCACTTGACTAATAAAGATTTTGACAGGAGTTGGTCTGTAAGTTCCATCCCCACGTGTTTGCAGCTTTCCTGAATGGGCTGCTTTTGTTAGGTGATTGCACAAGAGGGCTGGGTCGAGCAGAGATGTTTGGGTGTGGAAGGGGAGATTATAGGAATACTGGTGGTGTGATGCAAAAAGAAAGGGTCCAAGGTGCTATGTTACACTGGAAAAATTCAGGTCAAATACACAATCTGAAAGCTAGTCATCTTTCCACCGGCCAACAAGCGAAAATTTGGTAAACTTTCCTCGAAAAACAATGAACAAAAGGTGCAGTTTGGGTGTGATGTACCTGAAATGCCTTTGTTTACCTTCCTCGCGGACGCTTGCCCACCACCGCCAGTTTTTTAGACTCGTTAAATTTCAAGGTAGCTCAAAACTTAAGTAAAAGTTTCTAAATCTAATAAATTTTGATAGGGTCATAAGAAAGGGTCACAAGGTCTTCGTTTGTTTCAAGAATAGGGAACGTGCATTTTGGAAAAAGGAGATATGTCAGTTCTGCGATTCTCTGTTATGTGGATCTCAAAGCAGGCAACTGCTGGAAAATCAGACACAAATATGGCAGCTGAGGCTGAGCAATATTCTTGTTGTTGTATTCTTAGAAATTTGATGATTCTGCGTCTGAATGTTCTTATAAACAGTCGACTGGAAAAGTAACCCTTTCAGAATTTCAAAATATATTGCCTTGAAACTTATTTTTCTCTTATTTTTATTCTTACGTTCTTCTTTAGTTACTAATTTTGACTATAATTAGTCTCAGTGAATTGTATCGGAGTTGATTTCTCAGCTTTCTTTGGTGTTGAGTTACCCCCAAGCTTGAGTCTCCTTGGCTTAGTTGAATAAATATTTTTTGCCTTTTACCCTATTTCCATTCTTAGATCACTTTCAACGCTTTCCTATCCAGGAGGACAACCTAAGTAGATTTTGCGACGGAGTCTTGTAAAGTTTATGACAACTTGTACTGACGAAGACTAAACAAAAGAGTATCTACATTAACCAGAGAACTGAAGAAAGATGTTTTTGATGTTCTAAAGCTTGTTATTTTATAACTCTATCCTTCCTTTCTCGGAAGACGTTTGATTTGAATTTACGGCATTCCCTTGCTAGGCCAGCCGGTATATGACCTTGGAAGCACGGTTTGATTCTTTCCGCCTGGTGAAGATGCAAACAGATTTCGTCGCGCGGTAACTAATTTGTTGCGTGATCACGAGATCTCTCTCAGACGTCGAGATATTGATAATTAGACTGTACCTCCGGTCAAAGCTTGAGCTGTCGGCGTCACATGACTTGCTTTGTGGACTGATATTTATCGAACGTAAAACTGGAATTGTATGTTGATTTTGATTCACTGTGTTGTGAATGCTTTGATGAGAAAACACAAAGGCTGTTCGTCTTTGGCATTTGATTGGAATAGTAAACGCGGCTTATCTGCTCATTCAAACAGGTTCTATTTTTCTTTGCAATTTCCATGTGGCGACTGGTCTATTGTCTTCAAGCTCAGTCTTCGTCACGCAACAATATTGGAATGCCAACCAGGGGGTATTTTAGTTACTCCCCTGCCGCCTTGTTAATGATCTTGGTTGCACGTTTTTCGCTTTGTTAAGCAAAACTTCACCTTCCTTACGTCATTCCTTTTTTCATTTTGATTTTTGTGTTGACACGTCAAGTTCAGCCCTCCTCAATCTTTCATATAAATCTTATCGTTTAGCGTGGAGAAGAGTAGGCTTGAAAAGTTCTCATTTTGAATTAGTTCACAGCTTCCTGAGGTTTTCAAACAATTGAGCAAAAGGAGAAACTGCATAAGAATACAATTTCTTAATTTTTCTTCTTGTCTCTTGTGGCTGCCATTATTTTTCAATTCCACTTTCATCCCCCCAGTTTTTATGATATCGAGATGATGAATGAGGTCCGCAATGCATCATGGGAAAGATACTCAAATGTGCCAAGCATCTTTGTCGGTAGTGAATCATATTGGTTAGTTTACACAGGAAATTTTTCTTCGTGATTTCAATTCATACGTTTCCTTGCCCTTGTACACCTCGTTTTTGTCTTGTCAAGTTTCATTTGTTTGTATGAACAAACAGGTTTCCTTAAATACCACTCTTCTCACAGATTTCAGGAGTATTGTAGGCAATATCCAAAATTCTTTGTTTCCTATTAATTTTATCAATACGAACACGTCATAATGAATGATAACTACGTCCTTGCTAATACTTCAAGAACAGCTGATTCTAAGCATCTTTCATCTGAGCATTGACAATCACGTTGCAAGGTGGTTGCTCAATTGAAAATGTTCCTTCTTTCAATTCCACAAACGCCTCTTTATAACCATACTCTATATTCTCTCATTTCTTTCGATTTAGGATGTTTCTTCTCAATCGTAAGTTTGTACCACGTCTTTTTCAAATTTTTTTATCAAACACTAACACTTTGAAGGTATGAATTATTTGATCCTACGTTTGTGTAGAGCTTTTGGTTTGTGAATCACAGATGGTTCTAAAAGTGTTGCCACAATCTCCTAATTGCTTGTTCTACTCAATTTTCGATCAATCTTCTAATTGTTCAGATAGATGTTTTCAACCACAGGCATGTATCTTGTTTACCTGGTTACAGCATCAAAGGACATGAGTTATTTGTCATTTCATCATTTTTTAGAATTTCTTTTATATTCGCTCATTCTCTTTTCTATAAGCATACTCCAAAATGCTCATTAGAATTGCAGCAGTTCTGATGTCTACCCGCAGTTGTGCGTGCTCTTCTTGGCAAGCCTAAATTGGTATAGTTAGGCAAAATTTTAGTTTAGGTTCTTATCTAGAAAACCGTTTAACTAAAAAACCGTGAAGCATGTCCTTTCTCGATCCACGTGAAATCTCGTCAGTTTCATGCAAGATATCATTTGATGACCATGTTAGTCTGCAGAATAGCAGAAAGATATTATTTCAAGATATACAAATGGTAACCTTAATTTTTACTGTTGTCTCTCACTTCTAGGATATCATTCCATACTCTACGCAGTTTTATATTGAAATTTGCTCTTAAACTTGAAGTAGAGTTTTTTAAGTTTGGCACATTTGTTTTCATTATAGTGTCTATGAGAATTTCTTAATCCCTCTCTTTGCAAAGTAACTTAAAGTCCTTCATTGGTTCGAAATTAGTAGGATATATTCAGCAGGCAAATGTGAACATTTTCCTAAATTAACCATTCAGTATTATATTTTTTTATATATTTATTTATAGTGTTCACTCTTGAACCCCTGTAGAAAAGTTTAACAATTTCCAGTGCTTAAGTTCTTTTAGTAAAGTGAGTGAATAAAGAAGGAATATGTGCTAAGGTTGTTTTATAGGTAAAAGTGAGTAAAAAATGCAGAAATGAAGAGCAGGCAAGCATGTGGAACCAGGGGGCCGAAGGGGGGCTGCGTTAGTGCAAAAAGGGTCCCGTTTCTAGTTCTTAGTGCTGTTATTTGATAATTTTTCGCAAGAACTCTTGTCACAGAAATCCAGCTATTGGGTGTTCAAACGGATTTTAGCAGGCATAATAGATCATGACTGAGAAGAAGCTATTAAATGGTCTCCAACACGGTCTCAGACAGGTACCACCTCTAAAGAAGCTCACAAACAAGTCAACAATTCCAAATATGCAATCGTTTGAAATTTTCTCTGGTTTTGTTGTCGTGTAAACCTGCTTCACGGAGAAAATGCCGTCCTGTGCAAAACTAATCCATCGTTAGCGTCTGTGAATACGTGATTTGAATTTTTCATAACGCCGTTATAGGACCACCTGAAGGGCTGCCCTGCGTGAATTTTACGAAAAAGGATTTTCTGAAGCGCACATTCATTGAAGTCATACGGGGGGAGACAATGCACCGGGCTGGTGTGGGATTTGTCGATATCCTTCCGAGGTTTAAACAAGATAACTTCTCGCAGGGCTGCATGGCTGAATTCAGTGGGATAGGAAGCAACTCACTGGGCTGCTTATATGCATTATCTATATTCGACTTGCAATAAATATTTATTAATCTGGGAGCATGTGATAATATCTTTGCATTTAATCTTTTATAGCCTGCAAAATATCTTATGAAGCGTTATTGCTTTTTTGAGAAAAAAATCTATCATTTTTACCAAAAACATACTTAGCACACTTACCCTAATTTATTGCTTTATCTATTATTTCAATATATACATTTGATAAAATATTTGGATGAAAATTTCTAGATTTGTAATTTCTCTTACTCTTATTTACAGATGCCGGAATGATGCACCCAAACATGCAATCGAAATGCATGAAATGTCTCCCCATGGAATCCATCGAGCACCAAGTGCATCCACATTATCACCCAGCCTATTTTTGCGTATCCAAAATGAATGGTGCTCCACAGGAATCCCCTCTGCTCTCTGCACTTGCTATTTCGTACCCGCCTCGAATACCTTGCGCTGCAGATCCTTTTCCAATAATCGTGCAGCATTTGCTGTGGCATACGTCTTTGCACCAGCAAGGCATGGAAGCAGACACATTTGCGCGAAGAGCTGTCGAATCACTGGTCAAAAAGTTAAAGAAGAGATACAATGAGCTGGACGCACTTATCACTGCAGTTGCCTCCAAGGTATTTCTAAGGCTAATTTCTAAGACTAATTAGGTAAAGCTACGTATTTGTTTAAGCTGGTCTCGGAACTATTTTAGTACACCCTTGGAACGCAGTGCATTTTTTCAGTTAATGAAAAGGAGATGCTCAAATGTAAATCGGCAGTCGATAGCATTATAACTCTTTTAACTGTGTAACTCTGATAAATGTATCGTGACCTTTTACGTACAAGCTGCCTGTTTCCGAGATCGTATTTGTACATTAATTCTCTCACCTGTAAAAACTTGTTTGGGCCCCATGAATGTCTCCTTTTTCTGAATCACCGTTTTGACCATAGATCTCTAGAGAACCTTCTCCTCTTATTTCTACCTCATTTTTCTTTGGCGAGTAGACTTTGGCATTGTATTGAGTAATTTTACAATGAGTCTTTTAATTTTGTATCAAAGGGATCAATACCATCAAAATGTGTAACGTTACCAAGAACGCTGGATGGAAGACTTCAGGTTGGAGAACGCAAAGACTTCCCCCATGTCATTTACGCACGGCTATGGAGGTGGCCAGATGTGCATAAAATGGAACTCAAACACTTGGAATCTTGTCAATTTGGATTTGATATTAAAGATGAAAATATCTGTGTCAATCCATATCATTATCAAAGGGTAAACCCGCCAGGTAATTACTTTCATTCGGACACCTTTCTCAACCCTAACAGCAAGTGATAAACTGATTATGTATGATACAGCCCCGAGCGACTTGTACAGTGGAAAAATCATGGGAGTGGGATATTGGGGGGTCTACTGCCCCCTAACCCCAAATGACAAAAATGACACAAAATGAACCTCGACCTCGAAAGTAACCTCAAAAATATGATTATATTGCCTAAGATAGAATTATTATAACATTATTTTAGGGTAACATTATTTAAAGGAATATCTCATCAGAAACAAAGAAATGGTATAGTTTTTAGAGCGGCATCAGCCCCCAAGAACAATAGTATATGCGTTCCAGTAAGAAATAGAAGACCGAAGGCTGCTCAAATATGCAACTTGCGAATGTACTAAGCTTGCCCACAAATTCAAATATCTTAATTCTGCCACTATTTTGGTATGTATGAGATGGAGATATCACTATCATAGATCACCGCGTTACACGATGATAGCACATTTATATATGTGTTTTCGATGAAAACCTATCAGGCGATAGATATAAAAATTCACTTCGTGTGCGAAAAAGTATTAGGAGAGTTCATTAGTTACCAAAGGGCGTAGTTTGGGAAACAAAAATTGAAATTATGGTTTTCATTCTGTCCTAATAAGTTTTAATTTCATCAAGAATCTTTCATTTGCAGACTGGTTTAATATTGCATCAGACGAACTAACTCCGGCAAATCGTGATGATCGAAATCCACAAGGTAATGACCAAAGTAAATCAGTCGTAAAGATTCCAAGTTTTTCATGGAAGCATTTTCTAATCAATGTTTGGTATATCTTTAGGTAGTAGACCCCAGATTATCATTCCTGTTCATCTTAGGAATTATCTGGAAGAAGGCTTGAATTCTTTCGATCAAGATTTTTGGGGTCTTATTAATTATTCAACTTTCGAACATAATTCAATCAATTTATTATTCAACTGCAATGAATTAGAGGGAGACAGGGGATCGAAGAGAGAGAGAGAGAGAGAGAGCATAAGGTCCTCTTAAAGTCACTTGGAGTAATCCAGTTTTACGAATATTTGTTAGAGCCAGGTTTGCGAACCTCTGTCTTTTGCATACTTCATTTATATACAAAAAGAGTGGACTGTCAAAATGCAACTTAGTACACTCGGGGACTCTTACTTGAAATGTTTCCTTCCCGTGTCTGCTAATCGGTAAAGTCAATTCGCTCGTTCAAGTCGTGTGTTCTCCAGTCTCTTCGCTGTACCGGACACGCGAGTTTAGATGCCCGGATACTGGGTTGTATCACTCCAACACAGTAAGGAGCAAATCGAAATTCACACTACCAGCTGGGGCAATCATTTGCAGCTATGAGTTTATTCCTTTTCAGATTTTTTTTTATATTTACTTTTGATTCATACCTTCATTTTGTCACTTTTGCATGTCTAGACCCCAGTGTACCGTCTTACTACCAAAGACGAGGCTCAGCATCTCGAATACCAGAACAGACGTCAACTTATCATATCGAAAGAACGCGTCACAATTCAGGCTCCAAGAACTCTGACACTCCTAGGCCAGAAACAATTTCACACACCGAGGGTCAATCTAGGTAATGTTTTCCACAGTTACAACACAGACTTAATCAACAAAATATTGTTTACATCAGTGAAAAAAGCTATAAATTTCTTCTACCTGTATAGTCCTGGCCTAGAATAAAGACATGGGAGACAGGCGACTAAAATTGCCTGTTCACCCATTGAAACAAAATGCCAACCCTTTACCACGGCCGCTTTTTCAGTTTGTTTGGTAAAGTGGTTAAAGTGTAGTCGAGGAAAGCCTAAGTGTTTATCTCGCCAGAAACGCATCTAAGTCAAATTATCTTTTTTGAGACTAATATTTTTGTGTCAATGAGACGAGTCATTTGTTTATCAAACTGTTTTTCCTTGTTGATGGTTTTGCTATGTATTAATTGTTACATTGTACTTGACTGCTATTTTCTTTTTGATATAAAGCTAAATGAAAATCACCTTTTGTCATTTTATTACAAGTTAAATTGGCTACTACACTCTTTTTTTATAAGAACAATTTTATAAGAACACGAGCCTCAAAATTGGTCAAAAGGTAAGAACAAATTAAGAACAAGCTGAGGCTGAACTTCTGCAAAATGCAATTTTGAACAACTTTTTTTCTCAAAATCGAGGATTTTTAGCGATGTGTGGGTGCTTTGTCGGTGAATATTCAAATTTGTCACTAAATTAAGGCTGTCTCATTCACTTTGTTGACAAATGAGACCTGTACACCTTCCTAGAGTGAAAAAGCTAGCACTCGCACTGCTTACACCCGGTTAGATTAAGAACAAATTAAGAACAATCCAGCCTCAGATTTTCGAAAAAATTAAGAACAGTAAGCCTGAACTTAAATTTACTGGTTCTTATAAAGAAAGAGTGTATCCTATGTTTTCGGCAAGCAAGGTGTTGCATTAGCTGAGTTTTTGACACCTCAATTTTCGTAGTTTTTTAGCCATCGAAGAATTCATATTTGGATTTTGTTGTTAAGTGATGTTCTCAAAAATTACTTCTTAGTTTAAAAAGATCTTCTGACAGAGGAAAGAAGACGAAAAAAGACGTTAAAAGAAAACGAGATGATTTAGTAAAAGTAAGCTTGCATATTTTATTTTGAATAGCGGATCTTCAATACCGGTGCTCTTGTGAGTCGTGTATTAGCTTGCTTCCTATTCTAGAATTAGGACAGATAAAACAAATAAGCTTCTATAGATGCGTTAAAATTTTCGAAGATTTCGCGCAAACAGTTTAATCCTACCTGATCTACCGGTCAATTACACGTGAACACGAAATGTCACGCAAGATTATAGCATAAAATACTCATTCTGCGCTCGCTGAAAATTGAGTGACCCGGCAGGTTTTAGGAAAAGTGGAATTTATTGTTGCTAATTGGAATCGCAAATCTAACCTACTACAACTTAATACCTGTTTACGACGATAATGCATTCAGTATACGAATTGCCAATCATTCACTGACGAAGTGCAAATCAATGAGTAACTGGAATAGATTCCAAATTTAACCGAAAGCTCATCTGCAAAAGCTTTTACCTTCAAAGACTCATTCCATTTGGATCTCTTGTAGGAAGAGAGTCCCGAACCCAGTATAGAAGTTGATGTTGTGGATGTTGCTTGTTCAGGAGAGACATCACCTATCAGGTAAACCATTAAGTTTTATATTCCAGTTTTCACAGGCAGTTATCTCTTTTTTTGTAGTTAATATGCAGGAAAAGCAAGATAGCGATTGAAGAATATTGATAATCATTTCTTAGTAGGGATTCGGCAGAATGTCTTGCACAGTCACTATTCAGTCATCCTTGTCCCATGTTTAACCTGACATGTTGTGTAATGAATTGTGTCTTCGTGTGCTTAGATATTTCATTGAATTCTCTTACGTTGCAGGAGTGAATCGGTAGCAAGCAGTGCAAGCAATGTTTTTGATCAGGCTTGGGGCAAGAGATGTGTGTTTTGCAACCTAGGTCAAGACAACATATATTTCCCAGTTGGATTTAATCGTTATGGACCTATTGTTGTAAAAACAAGAAGAAAAAGCGACTCAAATGGCGATATTTTTAGGCCTTATCTTCATTGTGAGAGTTCTTCATCTACCAGAAAGGCTTCCCCTGAGAAGGAAGAAATAGTTGATACAGAATCTAACACTTTAGGGACTGGGCATAATGAGAGTTGCTCTATAGCTGACTTAGTAGATAGATATGGTATATTTTGGGCTCACGATGCCTGTTTGCTGTGGAGCAGAAGTCGATCGAAAAGCATCGAGAATGATTATGCTGACAATATCGAAGAAAATTTATGTCAGGTACGTTCAAAAAGTTGTTCATTTAGTTTATAACTAAAATATACACTCGTTCTACTTCACTGTTTTTCTTTGAAAACACTTCCTTGAACTTGTCCCCCTGCCAAAAGTCTTAGAACACTAACGTAAGTTTTCATGGTCGAATTGAGCCATTTCCCATTCTCTTGAAACGATGTTGGTTTATTACAGAATGGCGTAGGGAACTCGAAAGTAAATATGGGGTGAATATGATTCATGTAGTTTGTATGACAGCTGCTTAAAATATTAGCACTGTTTGGAAGTAAACGTTCTTGGGATGGAAACGGATAAATAAAAAGCCATTTGGTGTTTCAAGTAATTTCGTTAAGCATCATAGGATAATCTTACTAGATTTTTAAGTTTAACTCTGAAGTCCCTTTGACCTAAATCTTAATAATATCTCGAATTGTTTCAATTCATCGTGCACAGAAACATCCACCAGCCTTTCTACTTAGATGAATTGCAATCATTAAATAAATAAATAAATAATAAATAATTAAATAAATAAATAGATAAATAAATAAATAGATAAATAATAGAATCATTGGTTTACGCCATGTTTCTATTCTTCATCGAATTATTCTGTTTGTTTGCAATAGGTTTGTCATCATTGTGGCAAGTTGGGTGCCAGCATCACATGTCAGGCAGCTGGATGTTCTAGAAACTTTCATCTACCTTGTTCTGTGATCAGTGGCTGCTATCAGGTTAGCGGCTTGTTTATTCCTTCATTGCTACCAATTTCTGAAATATTCTAAGATCCCACATCCCAGCATAGGTTTTCAGAGCACATCCAGGTATTAAAAGTAGTCACCGAATAATGGTCTCGGAGCCCCTTCCCACCTCTACTTTTAGACCCCGTTTACACTACAGAAAAAAGACATAACCTAAGGTTAGGCGACGCTTTCTTAAAATGTCAGATGTCATTTCTGCGCCACTGCGCATGCTTCACCTGAAAGTTCCGTTCTTTTTACTAAAGTGTAAACGGGGTCAAATTTGGTTTCGTTCCTTTTTGCTTCAGTGTAAACGCAATGAAAAAGTGGTATCGTGCTCAAACCAAGAGTTCCGTTCTTCTCTCTGTAGTGTAAACGGGCTCTTAGCTTCTTAGCCTACTTTTGTTAGTCCTAATAAGCAAATCAAGCTTCTTTACTTGCGGTTGAATTTTTCGTAACCCTGGAGGTGGTCATTGTCACGTCTTTCCGTACAGTCACCTCCCTCCTAGTAATCAAGGAACAAGATACCGTGGGGGAAAGGGGGGGGGCAAAAAAGCTTTAGTTTAATAAGTAAAATACTGTTAATTTGTAAAATAAAGCTGTCTTTCACTTGTTTATCAGGGCTGCCCCCTCAAAAAAAGCTGTATCTCGGTCTTTGCTAATAATATAGTTGGTAAAAATCCTATTTTTGTGGAGGGACCAATCTTGCATGGGTGGTTCTGCTTGGCTGCTGCCATTACCCTTGTGGTGAAGGCAACCTTGAATATTCTATAACAACTGATCGTTTTTCTGAAAGTCTCCTTAAGCAATATGGCAAAAATGGCAAAAATGATGAACAGTGTGTTTATCAGAGTTGATACTGCTGAGTGCTGAGAATTTGAAAAATTATGCAGAAATATTCTAGGCAGATGTTGAATTATAAGACCACGAGGAAGTGTGCGTGCAGTGATTGTACGGGGGCTGATTTGGATTTTTTTATTAATCTTACTTTATCCGCAGCCTAATCATCCATTTTCCGCTAATTCTTTGTATGTTGGAGTTAGGATGTTATTCTTCCGCATCTTAATAGCTTAGTCAATAACTCAGTTTTCAAATAGAAAACCTCGTTTATAAGCAGTTGATTGGTTTTCTCCCCATTTATCTGTTTTTAATGCCTTTTAAATTGTCGGATAGTGGAGAGCAGACTGATTGAAAAATATAACCCGGTGTGAGACTTTAGATATGGGTATTTCCGCTCTGTTGTTACTTCTAGGAAAGAGCGTTGCTCAGAAACAAACAGTTAAGCCTACTTCAGCATGCATTTTATAAATAGCTTCGATGAAATGTTGATCAGATTCCAGACGGTCGCGTTTCTTAACTAGAAACATTGGGCTTTTTAATAGATATAAAATTGTGTTTCTTTCTCGTTACGTATAAAGGGAGAATTAACTTTGATTCATTGAAGATTTCTATCAAATTTGTGGTATTTCAACCACACTCCAAAACACATTGCAAAGATGTGGACATAGAGACTCGCCCTACATACGAGGCTACAGTCCCCTAGGTTTGATAAATCGTTGAAGATCATAGTTTATCATCCATGAAAATCGCTTAAAGCCCGGGCCAAACGACTCGATTTTTCGCTCGATAGGCCAGTACCCCAAACCTTTGCTACCCTTTTGCCCATGCTGTAGAATCAAGAGCGGATTTTGGAATAGGTTAGAGGGTTGCTGTTACAAGCACTTGTGGCTATTGATTTTAACAATGATGAAGATACTTTATGTACTGAGGTGTTTTCGTGTACACTTTTAGTTTTCGATGCTAACTTTATTTCCAGTTTAAAACACCTTTTTGTGTATTGCAGGACCTTCATACGATGGTATTATATTGTCAAAGACACCTTGAGCGAGCACGAGATAAAGGTAAGCTCGAATTAATCCGCAACTCTGATGAAGTCCAATACCTTGTGTGTAAACAATGATGATTTAAAACGAGTAGACAGTTGACTTGAAAGTATCCTGATTTAAAACCCTTTGTGAAAATCTGCTCATTACAGTTGGATGTTTCATAATCAAACTTTCTATGCAATGGAAACATTTACCATTGTTGAATTATCCATTTTCTTGCTGTATAACGAAAACTTAATACTGCTCTTTAGATCTTTGTACAATATTTATGTTGCATATTGCCCAAAGTTTTCTATAAAACCTCCAATCTACCTTGCTGCAGTGAGACATTATATTAGCAATGTCAGAAAAATCAGTGCTTCCACAATGCTCAAGATTATTCTGAAAAAAAAGGTGACTGAAACTTTTTCAGAGCTTTCATCCAAGTAGCATTGCAAACGTTCATCTAATTATTTAAGAAAATCTTTTTTTAGCATGCTGTAAAGTTTGCAAGACTTCTGGAGATATTTCATCTCTCATTCTGTGCACGATTTGTCAATATCACATTCATACAAGTTGCTTGTCAAAAGATACAATGGTCAGTCCAATGAAAAGGTTGACGTGGAAATGTGAAACTTGCTCATTATGTCAGATTTGTAGGTATGTTGTGTGCCAATACCTTACCTCAACTAACCATCTTTTCTTCAGGTCAGCAGACCCAGATATGTAAATGTTTTACCTAAAATCTCACTGTTTTTTCTTGTAGAAAAACTGACCCAGAAGATGGAATAAAATCTTGTTCGAGATGCTTGAAAAGTTACCACAGGCAGTGTATCTCCTCCGATGGTTCCAGCAGCATGGATTCCGATCCTAGGTGGATCTGTAAAGTAGGCAGTCAAGCTTCAATATGTTTTCTTTCAATATAAAGAAAATCAATTACCTTTAGTTTCTGCTCTAAAGATTTACATTTCAGCTAAGAGTCACCTGTTTTTTTCAGATTTTCCTGTAAATGTTTTCCTTGTCTTATTGTAAGCTCTAATGAACATGCTCAAAATGATAAATAATGTGTATTTACGCAATTCCTCGAAGTTCGAAGTTCCAAATCAGAAGTGTCTTGTTTTTTTACAGCAAAACGTATTTGCGACTCTATCTTCTAATCAGCTGCGTTTTATCTATTTTCGTTGATGAAGATGTTGATTTTTTCTCTGAAAATTGAAAGATATTATCATCTCTATATACATACAACAGGCTTACACTGTTGGTGTAAAGTAAATTCAATAAAGTGCTCAGTTCAACCCTGACTGCGCTCTATCTCAGCAATAAACACCTTATACTTCATTTGAAGTTCGGTTTACTGTTTGTTGTAGAACTGCAAGTTAGAACTTACACAAGAACATGATATGGAAAGAAAGCCATCGATAAACAATCCTTGCGTCACCTATTCCCCTGAATCTTCTCCTACCCCGTCAAATGGTTCACGTGAGCTGAATTCTGTATCACCTTCTGCGAGTAGTTTGAATTCGAAAGATGCTATCGAAGTTGAATCACGCAATTCGAAATGCTCGGTATGTGAGCAAGACGTCACCGGAAGAAAGATTGAAGAAGATGCTTTGGTGTGCCGATTTTGCTCTAGGTATTTGATAACACATTGTTAAATGAAAATCAGCAAGATAAAGAAGCAAGGAATCGTTCGATTGGAGAGACAAAACAAATATTTTAAGTGCTTGAGTTGGAAAGACAACGCCAATTGACAGTTTGAATTTTACTGCATACGCCCAAAAAGCTAACCGTAATTTACAATTAAAAGTCCCTAAAAGGCTACCATTAAGCTATGAAATTTGTATCAACCATAGGAATGCAAATATTGTTTTTATTCACAATTCTAAGATACCACAAATTTCGTTGACATTACATCTGAAAGTTTTGTTTTCTGTAGTGTCACAGAAAAGCTGGTATTTTTCTGGTTTAAAAAGTTGTTAGATGAGGCGATAATCTCATGCAAGAATTTTCAAATTTTGACCACGTAACCTGAAAGGACCTCAAGAAATACCCCCATGTGCAAAATAAGACAAATATAATGCCAATTGACTGAGACATAGCACCTGAAAAAACTGAGATTTGCTAATTAATTTCTGTTGTTTTGCCTGGTTGATAAGTTCTAGAACCAAGAATCAATTACAGTGATTTGATGAAAAATGAGACTGTGCTCAAGTTGCCAGGTCTTCTCCAATTTTATACTGCGTTGAGCATATTTTGCACATCTAGAGATAACTTGCGATGTTCTTTTAGTTTCTCTGATAAAAACCTGCAAATTTGAAAATAAGATTTTGATAAGATATTGTCACTCTGTATTCCATAATCCATTTAGAATAGTGTTCTTTCAGCGTATTGAAGCCGTGTCTATCAAATTATTACTGCTTTCTTGTAGCCTTGTTCATGTGGCTTGCGATCATGTTCCGGTTGAATTAATCGACTTGTTAAGAGATAAGAGATATAGTTGTCCATCATGTAGAAGAATTAATGGTCTGAAGAAAATTGGTAGATCCCAGGTGGGTTTTTTTGTTCTTTTCTACGATTAGAGTCGCCATGAATTGAATCCTAATGACTTTTAACTCTGGTGTCCAGATAGCTTTGCTTGCTTGCGACAATTGCGTGCATTTTGCCTGAGGCAACAACTCATTCTTTGGAAACTTTCGGTTATGGCAGCCTGACAACCCACATTCTAAATGTTTCCGTTCATCTAATTGCCTGAAACTAAGCCCAGGTGCTGAAAAGGAATTTATAATAGAGTTGATTGCTGTTGTCATTAGATTAAGTTAGCTTTCAGACATTCATAAAATATGCAGAAACAGCCTAAAAATGACTCTTTGTTTTTTAGATCGGGGTAACGTTCATTTTGAGGCTAGGTCCTCAGTGCATATAGACTTTTGAAAGTTGAAAATAATTTTTTGAATAAATTTTACAGGTCCTTGATATCGGATGACGTCATAGATATTGGGTGGTAGCAGTGTTGTCCAGGATGTTTTCCTACCTTCCTACATTACAGTAACGAAAACTTTTGTCCATCAAGCAATTGTTCCTTACAGGAATATAGAGCTTTCGAAATTACAAAAATACTCGTGATTTGCACTATTAGCCCAACTTAGTTAAAATGTTGACCTTAGTGCACCCCTAACTCCTTACATAGGTTGTTGTGCCTATGGCTGCTAACTCTTTTCACTACCAAAAGGTTGCTAACGTCTACATATTTTTGCAAAAGCCCTCCTTGCTCTTTTCATAGCGCTGAACTTTTACCCAAATATAGCATTAGACGCCTATTTCAAATGTTGTATTCAAAAGAGTATATTTTCATAACTTAGGTAACTCATCTAACAAAAAGTGGCAGCAACGAATCCAAGTCTCTCCAAGACGTCTTGCCAAGTGGAGCAGAAACGACAAGTAGTACAATACCATCCAGCTCAGGTAAACTATTCGATGCTGAATCACCTCTAACGGCTGCCTTGATAATAACGGAACCAATTACATGGTCGCGATTGAAAGTTGTCTATTCGTTTGAATATGATAGAACTCCACATTAACAACGTTTTAATCATTATTGATAATTCTGTAGTTAGAAATGAGTTACGGAAAACTGAAAGCTGTCAATCAGAAAGAATAGTCAGGATTGTTTTCAAAAGAGGAGCATTGACGGTCGGGCAGGCTTCCTTTTACCTACCTAAAAATTACTTACACGTTTACTTTTGATACAGAACGGCACTGTTATTATATTCATATTTTTAGGCTTCCAACAATAACCTAATGACCCTGGGCATTCCCTACTGCTTTTCTTATCTCTATATATTCATATCTTATCTCTACATTTAGTGTAGCATGGCAAGACTAATGGCCAATATGTTTTGGGTACTTAATTTTAAAGCCTTTTCTTTAGCAATAGGTTCTTGTTTGTTAGGATTTTATTACCTTTGATGGGGAGTTTGACGTTTTGTAATTATTTTTGCTGTGCAATGGTTTGCAATGGTATATTTGTTTATATTGCTTTATTTTGTAAATATTTTACATTTTTCATTATCAACCCATTCACTTTCATTCATATATCTATCGATAAGAGTTGTACTATATGTACCCCGAAATGATAAACACAACATTTTTTAAATAGTAGTTTAGATGTTGTTTTGCTTCAAGTTTTAAACCGAATTCAATCCTTTTGAATACCAAGGGGCTCATTAACGGAACTCTCTTTCGAATGTTAAGTAGCGTTTTCCCTTCTAAGACATGAACCCCAATTTTCACAACTTTGTGCCAAATTTGGCTAGAACTCGTCAAAAACAAAATTCCTAAAACAAAAAGGCTTAGTTTGTAATTCTTTTTGTATGAACATCAATCATTGTTGTTCTTCTTTAATTCACCCATGTGTGAATTTCAAAATGACAATAGCTTTTATCAAGTTTTATGCAGCCCTAATAAACCCTGCTGATATATGATACACTTTTTAAGCTAAGCATTAAAATACACGACTCCATTTAAGTTAATAACAAACTAAAAAAATTTTATCTTGAAATGAATCCTGCTGGCCAGGAATATTTTTATGTTTATGTCACCCATTAAAGGTATATATTTCTTCCTTGCTAATAAGAGTCTTTCTTGCAGGAACTTTTTATTTTTAGATTCTAAAAATCCCTGACAGCTTTTTCGTATTTTATTCAAATTCACCTTTCTACCCTTAATCTTGGTAGATCAAGGTAGATCACCCAAAATTAACATGGTTCTGTGGAAATTCTGCACCCATTTAATTATGTTAATAATTTTTTCTCATCTAATACACCAAAGGTACTGTCATCATTTTTGTTATATTTTTGTTATATATGCAATGGTATGTCGTATTTATTACAGCTTTTGTAAATATCCAAATCTCCGATAAATTTTTACTTGTCATTTAAATCTAACGGCAGAAAAATGTGCATTGTCATTCGAAGCACTGAGTAAATAGGTACACTTTGATCTAAACATATTGATAAATGTATTTTCAAATATGAATTGGTTCGATTTTGCTTGAATATTAGAGTATTTTGTTAATTTAATTGAGATTTATATGATTTATGTGATTTAAATTTTCTTGTTTTAAAAGATGATATGCATGTACAGTACATCCTACATATATACCATATTCTACATACATATACAAACACATCAACAATAAATATGTTCCAGTCAATGGTATCTGATATTTTGTGTTTTCTCTGTCCTCCAGTTAAGTGAAGCTTTTTTCAAGTGACTGACTGACTGCCAGCCAGCATTAGATTTTGTATTAATATATCTAAAGGTTGATAAATAAATTATAACGCATAAATAGCTTTCATATCCAAATGTTATGAACTCCAAAAAATGAACTGCTGTCTAAGTAATGTTTTGAATAAGAATTGGGTCAAATTTGTGCAGTTGTAGAATAGAAAAAATAGCAGGTAAAGGCATCACGTGAGAGAAGACAAGCAATTTATAGAGACTTATGGTTTATTGTAACTCATTTAAAAAATAAAAAGCTATTTTGGAAAGTATAGATTGTAGCACTGGTGAATATATCAGTTCAAAACTTCAACATAGGCTGAGAAAAATCCCTGGAGGACTGTTCATCCTGAAATTGGTGGATTAGGACCTTCTGTTGTCATCCGGATGTGGTCTAATTGTGGACTTCTATGGCTAATCATCCTCAAATTTTGTGTGTTTGTTATGTCCATGATTCTGTGATGACTAAAAAAAAGTGCAAGTAGAGTTTTTATTAGGAGTACGGGTACAATTAAAATTTAAAATTCAATCAGGTATAGTACTGCTAAACAAGCTTGCTAAATGAATAATAAACCATAAATTTATATTGGCAACAGAAACATCAATTTTAAAATAGCACGGAAGAGCAGTAATGTATCATATCATACTAAAGTACTTTTTTCAGAATATAAAGCCAGAATGTAAAAATTGGATAATGTCTAAAGGTAGGCAGAAAAGTTATATCCAGATGCTGATCCAGTTTTACTGACTCCAAGTCATCAGGTAAAATGCTTTTAAGGTCTGGAATTTTGATAATTGATATTTGTCTGTATCTATACAATTTTCTGGTCAACATCATACCTCTTCTGAAAAGATTTTTGAACCTTAAAGTGCAATATTGCAAAAAATATTATAGAGATATTCTAAAAGATGCATGAAGATATAAGAAAGCCTTATAAAGAACAAAACAGGTTTATTCTGAATACCCGATGAAAATAACTGTGATAAACAGAATTCATTCATTTTTTCATATAATTTTGAAAAATGTTGACTTTTTTACCATAACTGCTTCTTTTTGAGAAGAGGAAGAGACTATGTGGGATAATGCATGGAGATGAAAACCAAGAACTAACAATAAATCAGACAAACAGAAAAGAAATGAACATAGATTAGCAACTTTTGAAATGAATTGGAATAGTCATGACTATCCAGGTAAGCCTCTAAACAATACTCACATAACCAGGAAATTTATACTCAATGCCAAGCTTTTCCAATTTCTCCCTCTTAGAACTTTCTTTGCTTACCAATTTTTTCACCAACTTTGCACGTGAAGCTGGAGTCCTTGCCTTTAAAAAATTGAAGAAGTAAATAGACTTAGTATTTTTATATCTATAATACTTTAAAGACAGAAAATAATTACTGAAAAAGTGTAACCAAACAAGGCTTGGGTATTACAATATTCAAAGATAGCAGAAACCTAACATACTTGTTTGACTATTTAAGTGGCTAGTGGACTCTCTGCTGATTATTTAAAAACAATGAACCATTCAGAGGTGTCATTTTTCCCCTCTTGCGACTTTTGATATGCACCTGTAAATTTCTACTTTCCTTTTGGTCAGTATCTTATGTTTACACTCTAAGGAGTGTTGAAAAAGATGTAAGCAAAAAAAAAGTGCAGCCTATCAGAAAAAACAACCTAAGCTTAAGTTATGAGCTATCACTCTCACCTTTCAAAATTGATATCATTATGTTAATAAAAATGACAGCTTTTCATTCAAATTAGATTGCATCATAAATCTGCTAGATAAATCATAATGATGATGATATGCATTCACCTTATTATGCTTTACTCTACTTTTTTCAGCCCAGTTTATCTTTCTGAATTTTCGTCTAGCACCAGTCCAGATACGAGGATGTAATCTTTCCTTTGGTACAATTTCACCTAGATAAAGTAAAGAATATTGATTGAAGTAAAATGTCAATTCAATTGCATGAGCAGGGACATAATTATTTACAGATAATCAAAACAGAGAGTTTACATACATTTGATAAGTCTTCCAAACATCATGTAGTTATTCATTGCTTCAACAGCTATTTTTGCCACATCCTCATATTCAAACTCTACAAATGCATATCCTTTAGAAGTACCAGTCTACAAATAAAAATACAACCCATTACAAAGTTAATTAGCCAAAGAGTATAGAATAATAACTTTGAAAATATGTATAATGAAGCAAAATAATTGTAAAATATGCAGAGGAAACAACAAAATAAAGGCTTAAGTACATGATCCTTTTAAGTTCTTTCTCACCTAAAGTATAGTAAAAAGGACCATTCAAATGGAAAAAATGATCATCAAATTCTGTTCTCTTTTCGGAAAATGATGAGTTTTAACTTTTTAAGGAAACAGGTCATGCTTACTGATAATACCTGTTTCCAAAGATCCGTTACTCGTAAATTGGTTATTTGTGACATTATGCTATCTGTGTAGATCATGTTATAATATTGTCAAATAAATGAATAAATGTGATAAATATATAGACAATTCTCACATTTTTGCTTCTTGATAGCCTCAGCCTTTTTATGGTGCCAAACTGTGAAAAGAACTTTCTCATTTCATCTTCGTAGAATCCATGAGGAATGTGACCAATGTATATAACACCAGATTCTGAAGCCTAAAATAAGAACGAAGACTTTTTTTGAAAACATCATTAAACTAATAAAGACTCTTGATATATTTTTGAAAACATTATTAAACTAAAAAAGAATCTTGATATATTATTGGCTATTTAATCAGAGTAAAACAGGTAAATAATTAATGATACTTTGAATTTTTTGCATCATATAACAAAAAAATTTTCATGAGAAACAATTTGTTAATTGCTAAACTCAACACAAATTTTTTTGAGAAACAACTATTTTGAGAAACCACTTTTGACATTGCCTAGCAGCAAGCAGTTTCACTTTTGGTGGTGCATGATGTGCAAGTTGGAGTAACATGCAAGCAAAATATTTTTATGATGTGATGCAAAACTGTGTTGCTGTGCAAATGAAGAGATTGAGCTTTAGTGTTACTGCAAGGGAGTGCAAGCTTCTCAGCCAGTCATATGTTATTTCTTATGATACCTCAAGAACATGCTACCTTAGTTGAAAGTGAAGGTTGGTAGTAATTTATCTACTTGATTTTTTATATTTCCATCTAGAAAAATTTGCTCTGTTCTAGAAAAATATCCATCTTTTTTTACAATATCTTGAAACATTGACATCTGTTTACTGGCAGGCTTCTAAAGGATATTTCCCTATAACTTTTCTTAACCCTTTCAGAGCCAAGAACGGCTTTAGCAGTTTTAGGCCAACCGATAGGACAAGCTGATCCTAAAAAATTTTGCCAAGTTCTGGTCTGACATTCGAGCTACAATCTTCAATTTTTCAACCATTTTTAAAAAAAAAATCCTTGAGACGATAGCACATTGGACATAAATACAAATCAAACTTTGCAGACAGAACGGGCTGGTGTTGATGATGGTGATAGGCCTCAATGAACGGCAAACGTCAACTGAACTCAAGGTTTGTTTCATTAAAGTTTGAACCTGAGAACTTTATCTATCTCTAAATAAAAAGAACAATAACTGTTTGAAGGATTATCATAGTTTGAGATAAATAAAAAATTTAACATTTTTGTGTATATTGTATTTTGTTGGGTTTTAAAAGTTTATATATTTGAAACATAATTTCAGCCCCTAACTTTGACTTTTCGATTCTTCATTTCATTCTCTCTCAGAATATATATGGTTGTCCTATAAAAAGAATGGCCCCTTCATGTATAAAAATGAGCTTAAACTATACAAGTCTGAAAATGAACATTTTCCTTGGAAATATAGATTTTAAGGGCATTTGCATCTGAGAATGCAGCTAGGAAAGTTTGCTGTGCCGTTTAGGATCTGTTAGATAAATAGTGGAAAAACTTTTTATACCCAGATGTGGATCCACTTTTATTTCCAAGTCATAAGGTAATGCTTTTGAGATCTGAAGTTTTAATATTTGATATTTGTATGTATCTACACAATTTTCTGGTTGGCATAAAACATCATACCTCTTCTGAAAAACTTTTGAACCCTAACATCTTAAAGTGCAATATTGCAAAAAATATTCTAGAGAAAAATATTCATACTCTCTCAACTTTGAATTTTCGTAGCTATTTAAAACTGAAACACAGAGATGCTACTATACTAATGGCAGTCTATAATAACACAATAGGCTTCTAGAACAGGGATGTTTGCTCTCTCCTTCATTTACAAATTTCATTTAACTTAATAGCTTTTCGACAGACAGATACTATTAGACAATTTTGATTATCTTAAAAATTGCCTTTGTAGTTGTTGTTTGAAGAAAATTGTATGACATGGGATTTTAAAAATAAAACTTTGATTTGAAAATATAACAACAAAACGCTACTCAATAGATGTTGTGTACCTATCTCTTCGTTTAGCCTAGCCATTGAGAGAGCTCCTTCCCATAATTTGTGTATTTAGTTTATCATTGTTGTATATCTGGTAACTGGCGCATTGGTAAATAGAAAAGAACTGTTCTAAGTTGCAAATCAGAGATTCACGCTTAACGCGAGATCATCAGGGTACCTATCAAGTAATTAATGCGAGTTTAAACTTTCTTCATGTCTCTAGTACGTATATTTATCATATTTAAATATATTTTTTGTTACAGTGTTAATGCATAAAGTTTCATTTTAAAATACATATCAACTGAACTAGACTTTATAATTACCTCAGCAGAGGGCAAGTTAGCAACTTTATCCTCGAAGTCTTTCTGCTTTTCGATGTCGATGGCAAGATTCCCAAGTTCTAACGTTTTCTTCTTTGACTTTGTTTTGATACTACCACTTTTTTGCGCTGATTTCTCTTTGTTTGGCATTTTTATACTGTCTGTTTAGTTGAAAAACAAGAAGACACGGTACCTCTACAGCCACTAGTCACGATGCTTGTTCTGAAAAGGTTGACATATTGTCTCAGTCTCGCTTCAATGTTTCAGAGAAACACAATGTCACATGGCTACCTCCGCAGAGGGGCGACAGACAAAGTGGCACAGACTAGGAATCCATCAAAAAATAATAAATCAAAACAATTATTAAGTTTATTGTAGGGATGCAATTTCCATTTAAATGTTGCCAAGGACATTGAGACAAACCCAAAAGTTTTCTGGCTCATAAACAATGACAGTAATGTTATGAAAGAACCTAAAATTATCATAAAATTGAACCAATAGCTAACTTATTAATATCAACATTAACACTTTCATTTGATAAGAATGATCAGAAATTGAAAATCATCAACAATGAAACTGTAATACAACGATGAAACCTGTGCGATGAATATGTGATAATAATGTTGCGATTAAATTGATAAAGTATTTTTCATGGCTTTGTCCTTAATCAGTGGCGGACTGGCTACCCTTTAACCCAACGGGAAAAGCAAGCAAAAGGGCACCAATAGGTGTTAAAGTTGCTTTTTTTTGGTGCTTGTAAAACGGGCCCAGAAAAAATTTTGCCATATTTCATCCTTAAAATCCTTTGCAATTGAAAACACCCTATTTAGAATGTCGGAACAATTGGCATTGGCATGAAGAAGACTCTCTGTCAAATTGACTGTATTTGAAACGTCTAGACGAATGGTGAAATTTGTAGGTATCAAGTGACGCATTGTTCTCAATTTTATGTATGAAATGATGATATCAAATGATAGATTTTGAAAGTTGGACTAAAACTCAAAGCCCGTTTTCAGTTAGCGAGACACTCCCTTCCAAGACTTTATAAAGAAAGCAGCTTCTCTGGCCTAGGAGACGAGATTATTTTCGATTAAACTCGATCTCAAAATCTTTAAAAATTGACAAAATATATGACTTCGTTCTCATCAAAAGGTAACATAAAATTTTTTGAAAGTTTTGCAGCATATCATTGAGAAATGTAAAAGGGTGCCTCAGCACCTGTTAGCTCAATGACTGTGTTGCTCCTGCCTCCATGCTACAGTTACATATCATTTACAAAAGATATGATTCCAGTTCATCAGCGTGCGGAATTATGATCAGGTATTGAACATGTGCTCAAAACCATAGACTTGTCTGAAAGATATCTGATAACATATCTTGGACAAATGGATTTTAAGAGATCTTGCTGCCATCCTTTTTGCGCAAATTGATGATTTTGCAGATTGATAGGCTCCCTCTCTATGAGAAACTGTGCGTAGAAATGGTAAAAGGATAAAGAATTTCTTAAGAAAAGGCACAGTCCCTTTCCGGGACAAAAATTTGAAGAAAGATTGGAAAACTTTTATAGCTAGTTGTAAATTTGAAACCAGTTTTTTTTCAAAACAGCAGAGGTTCAACTTTCCATTAAGTTTTCTAGAAGGTTCTTACATGAGGGTATCAATCCTCAGCAAATTCTGTATAATTTTTTTTAAATGATGGTCAAGATTTTGGACTTCAAGTTAGTGATAATATCTTTTGGTACAAAACTCCTGGTTTCAACGTACAAAAAACAGGATGCCTATGAGTTGTTCGTTGAATTGCAAAACATAATAGCTTGCCACGGACAACATAATAGTTTTCACTATCAAGGGATAGTTGATGGCCCGAAGAAAAAAAGAACTACATATTCAAGAGAGACAACACAAGGAATATGCACATATTACTGCAATATTTGAAAACCCCCCTTCTCCCTAAACAACTATTTCAACAACCTTTAACAAATAGCCAAACAAACCGAAATAGCCATAACGTGTATGTAAACCCCCCCTCCCCATCTTTGATTACATACTATGTGAACGTTCCCATACCCAATAGCCAACACATCGATAGTTTTATCCAGTTACAGCCATTCTGATTAGAAAGAACACATGGTAGTGCTCAGCTAATTTTTTTTCAAAGCGCGAGCCCTCAGTTATTTGATAACAGGCACTAGGATTAATTTGCATCAGCCATAAATCAAAAAACTAATATGGCTAGTCAGAAGTCATTGGTTTCACAAAATTATTAGTCATCAGTCAATTGGCAAATAGTCTGCTAATTAGCTAGTGAAAATCCCTACTACCCCCTCAACAGAAATTGAATTAATTGAAATATTGTGCACTTGCTTGAAAAAATAACAAGTTAACCAAATTACAAGACGTTTTATACTCTGAGGAGTTTCAGACAAAAAAGCTTCTAGTATGTTTAAGAAAATTTCTTTTATCAAAGTCATTTTCAAAGCAATATATGTTCTTTACAAGGTTTTCAGAAAATCTTGCAGAATTTGCAGATTGGGAAACTTTGCTATCAATCTTAATATTGCTCAACTTAAAGGTGAAGCTAAACTTTTTATGCAAACGTACTTTGGGCAGTTGATGATTGTAGTCAATTTTAGTTCTCTGCGAAGATTAGTTGCCTTTTGAAAGTTTTCATGGTTTTGCAAAAAATAACTTTGGGCAGAGGGCGCACCGGAAAATTTCCCGGTGTCCCGGTGGGCCAGTCCGCTTCTGCTCTTAATGGTATTTTATTTCAGTTGTGGCTCGTGATAAAAGACTCTTATGATGGCTTGCAGTTGTTGGCATATGCATATGCAGGTGATGGTGCTACGTTGTGTTGTCATGATAGATTTGATAGTTTTTTTCAGTCATTTCAGAAATTTATCAAGGATCATTTTTGTTTAGATATTTGTACTAGCCCGTGTTTTTTCATTGCTCCTTGAGTTCTTCCACTCTTCAATCTTCAATCGTTAACTCCTAAAAGCTATACAACCAATCTGGAGCATTTACTCAAGGAACATTGACAAAAGGAAAATTAACTCAGGAGTAGGATTAATACCATTTCCACCCAGCGCTCCAGTTTGTTTAAAGGTTTGTTTAACTCCTTTAAAGGCCTCCACTGAGGTTTGGTCGCACTAAAGATCAAGCTTGCACTTCCAAGTAACTACTTGTTGTGAACTTCTTCATTCAGCAAACTTATGTATTACTGTTCTCAAAGCATTGATATATTTACAATGTCACCCCTACTGTACATTTGAAAGGACACTGGCTTATACAATGTCTGTCTTCTTTTCTCACACCCTGTATAAGAGTTCTTTAGTTGAGAAATGTGCAGGGTCGGCGAAACGTATTTGAAAGTGGAGGGGCCCAAATATCAGTGTCTTGAAAGGGCTTAGGAAAGGCCGCCACCATGGTTGGCGGCAAGAAAAATTTTAGAATTATGGGGTCTTAGGGTGTCGTAATGAAACCTTTTTTTTAGATTTTAAAAGTACCCGAAACAAGATAGGGACAAAAGTAAATGAGACACGGATTAATAAATATCAACAGAAGAATTATCAACTAAAAAAAAGTTAAGCAATTTTGTACAGTTAAGATATAACTTCGTAACATCTGATCTTAACTTTTTCGGAAATTAAGTGCTTTTAACAAAAATTTGAAAACCTTCAAACTGGGCTTGTCAAAATGAATTTAAATAGAATTGATAATTGAATGGATTATCCAAACGATCAAAACCTGAAGTTTCTTGATGATATTTTTTAAAAACAAATCTGCCCATACTTTATTTCTCGTATCCTCAAAAAAGTTCTTTCCAGCTGTTTCTTTTCCTTCAACAGCTGATTTCTCTCTTTTTGAAATGTTTTTGGGGAAGTTTTCGCTAACAAATAGACCTTGTGTGCCAAGTTTAGGCAACAAACTCTGTTAATTTGTGCTGGCACCAAGTTATTCTGGACTAGGTTTCTCCATCTATTTGCTAAGCCAAGCTGTTAGTCATTGTAAAGCTTAGACAATGACCGATTTCTTCGATCTAATTCCCATATTCAATTTTATGTATGTCTTCTGTGGTAAAGACATATCAACCAAGGTAAAGCTAAGTACACATTTAAGAGAATACTAGGCGAAGTTACAGAATCCTATACTACATCTATTTCCATTTTTGCCTTGAAATTTTTCTTTAGCTCTGCAGAAAAGTTGGGGGGGGGGGCGGGCAGGGTCATCGGAGAACTGTCAAACAGGTTTCTTTAGCCCTGTTTGACAATTCCATTTGAATGTTTGATCAATCTGCTGGCAAGCTTTTTCAACCCCCTTTTCAATTAGGTTATCCTGAACATCAGTTTTTGAACATAACTGGTGGTAACTTTTGGCTTGTCTTAAATATGATAAACTTGAACTTTCATGGGTTTGCCATCAATTTATTTGCAGTGAGCCATTCAAATATCAGATAAATACATTTCAGAATTGAGAGCATTTCTTCAATCTTTTCAGCTTTACAACTGGAGTATATCTGTTGGTCGTGAGATAAAAGATTCATAAGCACGATCAGAATTTTCTTCATGGACAATTTGAATAATGAAGGTCCCAGGACAGATCCCTGTGGAACAGTGCGGAAAACAGCATATGACAATAATGCTTCAAATTTTGATAAAATGTTTTGGAGGAGATGATACATTGATCAAGAGTCAGTTCATATATTAGTAGTTTTTAGTGCACTAATGCAGAATGTAGATCAACTTTAGCTCCAGCATATGGGCGAAATCAGCGATTATTTCCAAGCGTGGGGCACTGTGCCGATGCAATGTTCAGGTTTAGGATGGATGAGATTGATAAGAACAAAATATCTCTCCCAACTTTTAAGGATTTGGTGTCAATGCTATCAACACCAGTTGCTTTATTGGATGGGATGAACAGCAGCAAATTGTCAACCTTGAAAATGGCTGCATTTATATAATAGATGATTTAGAACTCATGTCAAAAGTTTCCTTCAATCGGTTATAATTTGTTTTTAGTTTTATACCAGTTTCAGGGAAAATGCTCAGTTTATTTATTGTATCTTTATTCAACCGTTCTGACAGAAGATAATTACTTTGCTATAGTTACTTTACTTCTCCTCGACAATCGTTACGGGAATTACTCATTAACCACAAAAGCAAAGCAAGGTGAATGGAATCATACGATGGAATCGTGTGATGGTGAATAAATGGAACTGCGGTGGTGCAATAGTTGCCTACGTTCTGCGTACGCAGCGGCGCTTCTTTTATAATTTTTCAACCATCGTGAACCATAGTGTGTGAGCGAAGGAAGATGCGAGAAGGCTTGTGCTTCTTTTGGATTGCTTTTACAGCACCAAGGGCGTAATGATCGATGCCATGATATATTGTTGGATAGATCATGCTGAATTTAACACGAAATCTGCTTACAAGGTTATCCTGTAACGAATGTACGATGTTGAGGCAATCCGCATCGCTAGCAAATTTTGCCAGTGGCCTAAGTCGCTGTTTGCGAACAAAATGTATCCGCAACATGCATTCCGCTTTTCAAAAGAATAAATTAACAAATATTGAAATTGGACAATTCAGGACAAATAGAGCTGAATTTTTACTGCGGACAAGAGGAGTAGCCAGCTTTGATTTACCCGCGAATGTGGTGAACAAAGATAGACTCATACTAGTCGGATTAGGTGAGCAATGGCATGGAGATGAAGTCAATTTTTCAAAGTCTCTTTTACTCGCTCTTAAAATTAGTGGATGAAGTTTTATAAGCCACCTTTTTTCCAAATGTTATATTTCAGCACAAATAAATCACACGCTTCGTCTGTGATGTTAAAATACCTATTTTTTAAATATCATATTAGAAATTAAACAGGAAGGACAAAAAAACCTAAGACAATAGCTAGTGATTTGAAGATGAAATTTTTTTAAAAAAACTTGATGTTCCCAATAAACAAGAAAGTAAACGCAGTTTCATTTAACCAGTTTACAGGATATTAAGAGCATTTAAGCTACTGAAATCTTGTACTTGTTGCCAGTATGTTAGTTAAATTGATATATGTAGATTAGTAGGTTAAATTTGAAGATCGTTAAAAGTCTACATAGGTCCTTACATGCCTTTTTAGCTGTTGTATAAATCATATAGCAAAATGTATATACTATATATGGTCTTTGAATCAGCCTCTTTGACTTTAAAAAGGCCAATAAAAGGTATACATTCTAATTATGGTATATATTTCACCTTTCCAGAATCTGATTGTTGCAAAAGTATAAATATATAAATTTGATTGATAGAAATATTTTACCAAATTGTCACATTTTATTGTTTACTTCAAAAAATGAGTTAAGTTTGCATTCTGATGCTTCTTGTCCCCAAAATATTCATTTTCAACTTAATTTGATGACAGGAGCTGTGTTTGGTGCATATTTATATTTCGATTCAAAGAAAAGAAGTGAAAACCTTATTTTTGTTAAAAAAGTTCAAGAAATTCATGATTCTGTCACTAAAGCTCAGGTAAGATTCATTCTAGTTTCATTTCATTCAGTTTAGAGCTCTAGGCTTTTCCTTTCATTAATGAAATCATTTTCCCCTCCTAGATATCATTTATGTACTGTTGGCATAATCTCTTATCCACCTATATATATACATCTGTTGTGACTGGTTAAAATGTTTTAATCAGTACCCTGTTTAACACCTCTTTTGTATATTTCTATGTAAGGTGTGTCTTAAGGTAAAATTTATCTTTCACAGATAGGTCTATTGTCTGTGACAAAAATTGAACAATTAAAAATTTATAAGTTTCACATATTATGAAAATATTTCAAGGTTTTTTCTTGAAAGTTAGAATTAGAAAGTAACACACTCCTTAAACACATCAATTATTAGGCACTGCAATTAAATTGTTCTGCACTGTTAACATTTAACAGAAAGTCTAGGTATTGGTTGCAGTTTCTATTCCAATTGGCTTTTTTTATATGCATCAATAGGTTTTCAAACAATATGTCACTGTTGTGTTATCTGGAGCCAGGCTAGAGCCAGGAGCCAGGAACCAGATAGCAATCTACTAGTATACAATGTGATCATTGAATGATCTAGACCATAGTCAATTGAAAAAGCCCTGGTTTGGAAAGCCTGCAAAGATCAAAACAACTTTCCTATTGTCCTTTTGTTTTAGGCTAGATAAGGTTGAATTTACTGCGCAAAACCTTTTTTGGTGCACACTTCGTCCAGTATGGATAGGCCAGAAGGGTGTTGATGACTAACAGACTGCTTTGCCAACTGAATAATGACTAATTGTGTGTAAAACCCAAGACTAAAATGACTAACCATATTTTTTTATTTGATTTACAACTAGAAATAATTTTCTTGAGTATCACATGTATTTGGACTTTCTGACTGTGAGCACTTGAGCTTAGAGAGAATCATTTATACTAGAGAGATAAGTATTATCTTCAGGTGATTAAAGAGCAAAGATGAAGTTGTGTTTTTCCCAAAAAACAACTAAGAGCAGGAGAAAATCAACCATTAATTTGCTTTCCAATCAGAATGGTTGTAACTAGACCAAATTATCTATGTGTTGCCTAATGTGTATGGAAAGATTTACATGTCACATAATCAAAGAAGAGGGAGGTAAATGAACACAAACATTTACCATAATTGTTATTGCCTATTGCTCCTGCTTGAAAACTGATGATTTATTTTTTGTTGTAAATTTTCCAATTTTCATTTCTTGATATGTGCATATTTTTTTCTCTTGAATGATAGTGGTGGCCATCGAATATCCCTTAATAGTAAAATCTGTTCTGCGTAAAATAGAGGATAAAGGTTTCTGAACATCCTGTGACAGGCTATTTTATGTCACAGTTCAATTAAGAAGTCTTAAGAATCTTGCTTTTTGGTATATGCAACTATGAAACCATGTTGAAACCAGGAGCTTTGAATAAAAAGAAATTTTGACTAACTGAATCCAAAATTTTGACTAATGACTAGCGATGCCCTTTATCGCCTGACTAATGACTAGCAGTACATGGGCTGTGACACAAGTTGGAAAGTGAGGATGCCAAGGGAAGATGTAACACATATAACAAAATATTTTGAAAAAAGCTCTTGCTCTACAAAAAAATGGGAGGCCATGCCCCCCAGGCCCCCGTTTGTCAGAAGCCCTGCAGTATCCCCTGTCTAGACCCTCAGCTTACATGGAATGAAATCTTCAGGCTCAAAGTGAAGTTTACAAATACGAAAAGTGTTCTCTTTGATTTGTATTTTGAAGTTTTGGTCTACCACTCTGAACTTTGTGACCATGTTCAAAATTTCGCCATGTTCAAAATTCAGCACTCCATTTCTTGTTTTCTTCTGTGTCATCCTTCTTTATTTTGAAAATTGATATTCATGTGAAAGATTTTTGACAGTTTGTGCAGCACTTAGGAATACAACATTTCTTACCCGGCATTATATCTTATTGCATTTATTTTTGAAATTCCTAGTTCTTGTTTTGACAACATGAACAGTACAAACACATAACTTATTGCATTGACATTGTATACTAGTAGATTGCTATCTGGTTCCTGGCTCCTGGCTCTAGCCTGGCTCAGATAACACAACAGTGACATATTATTGTTTGAAAACCTATTGATGCATATAAAAAAGCCGATTGGAATAGAAACTGCATCATTTGACACAGAAACCAATACCTAGACTTTCTGTTAAATGTTAACTGTGCAGAACCATCTAATTGCAGTGCCTAATAATTGATGTGTTTAGGGAGTGTGTTACTTTCTAATTCTAACTTTCGAGAAAAAACCTTGAAATATTTTCATAATATATGAAACTTATAAATTTTTAATTGTTCAATTTTTGTCACAGACAATAGAGCTATCTGTGAAAGATAAATTTTACCTTACATAGAAATATACAAAAGAGGTGTTAAACAGGGTACTGATTAAAACATTTTAACCAGCCACAACAGATGTACCAGACTGAAAAGTTTGGTCTGGGCGAGGAATGCATTCCCCGCGCAATAATTTTTGCCCTTATTTCCACCTGCGCATTATTAAGAATCTGCCATAGATTCCTCGCAAAATATTTGTTTATCTGGTCATGTTCCCCTTGAATATTCCATCATTTAAACTTCTGACTTCTGAAAACAAGAAAAAACAACAAATACAAGGTCTCTATCGAACGTCTTTGTTTCAAATTTCGCGCACGATTTTTCGGGAAGTGTTTGTTATCTGCAAATTTAAAAAATATTGTTCTGGCATTCCCTGCACAGAAAAATACTCTACAGTCTGGTAGATGTATATATAAGCATGATAATTTAGTAACTGATCATTAGCAAGCAGGAGACCTCATTTGTTGCGAAACGAAACCTCACTGCTATTAATTGTTTAAGTAAACCAATGAATGGTGTGACACCCTGCCTTTACTTAATTAAATAAGTTGATGTAGAAAGTTTTTGTTATTGAAATGACACTTTTGAAAAGACTGGCAATGAACTAGACCTATTACCTACAACTTAATAATGATGATTCCTTTCAACATCTTAGTCTTCTGGTTCCAATAACTTCCAAGGACACCTCTTCTGGAAGCAACACAGAGAAAACAAATTATTTTGTTTTCGTTTGTAAATAGCTTTAAACCAAAGATATAACTCTGACTTGTTTACTCAAATAGTTTCTTTGTTTGATTTCACACCAGTGTTTGCCTTGAAAGTCAATATAATCATTGATTGTCAGTTATCATCACTAAAATTTTTTAGCAGATATATGTTGCATTTTGTTGAAAAATTTTTAGCAGATTAATTTTCAGATTTGTGTTTTATTTTTATTTCCTAAGAAAAACACCATAGAAAACGTATCTTCAGCCAGAAATGCAAGCAAATACAAGTAGAGTAATGAGTGAATTTGAATGTTGTCATGAGATTTCAATTCAAGACAACAACACACCAAATTAGGCAAACATGTATCAACCAGGGACCCTTGATTTCAAGTAAAAAGTACAATGCTGTTGATAATCAATGTTATATGTTTCTAAAATATGCCTAGCAATACAAATATAAGCAAATTGTGAAACAGTTTTATTCATTGTGAAATAATAATCTTTGGGTAATAACATTATCAAAACACAAGTGTAAAAAACTGTTTCTTCTCTTAAAGGTAATTGCCCTCAAGCTAAAAAGAAAAATATTTTTGGAATATATAAGGGTTTAGTCTGACCAGAGATTAGATGCTGACAAAAGTGCTAGCAGGACTTATGGGTTGTGTGAAGCAGCTTGAATCTTTCATTTCCTTATTTGAATTCTACTCCACATTCAAATATTCTCTGTCCATGCTAAAACTGTTAATGGTAACATAAATATCCCATATGAGAATCTACAAGAATAAACAAACAATAAATAGGCACTTTGGTATGAAGAGATGAATGGCTTGACAACTAAAATGACAAATTTATTGACAAATAAAATGCAGTGATGAATGGCTGACTCTCAATGGCTAATGTTATAATTTTTTTGATATCAATTTAGCATTTTTTGATAATTAAAAATTTTAATTTGATCTAACCATGGGAACTTTATTCTTAGAGCTATGTGAATGAAGGAAATTATGAAGAAGCAATCAAACTATACAAGACTGCAGTTGATCTTGTTAAAAGTGAACCAGAAGACAATGTCTCACGAACTGTAACTTTGGAGATTGTAGATCAGGTATGCTTCATCTTTTTGACCAAAATATGCTTGCCAGAGGTCCAATGATCACAAAAGTATAAATATATTGATATTGACAGCTTAGATTTATGATAAAATTTAATAAAAGGATCATTACCAAAATCATTTTGAACATTGTCTCAAAAAAGAAAGATCCACTTCAGCAAAATTTCAGTTATTTAGACATTTCGATTAGTTAGGCTGTTTTTTCGACTGACCCAGTTAATCAGAATGTGCCATTGATGGTCACACAATATAATTTTATCAAGCTTAAGATAAGACAGACTTGTCCCCCAAGGTTCTATAAAGAAAAATAATTATGTACAAAATTGATTTTTGATTCTTCCCAAAATGTGTCTTTAAAACCCATAAAAATCTCATGTTTCATAAGTGACATCTTGTCATTTTTAAGCATTTTAAATGTTTAAGAAATTATCAAAATTAAGAAATACAAATGTGAAGATAATTCAACAATTTTTATATAAGTAGAAATGCTGTTATAGTAGGTTGTTAAAACAGTTCACTGTCCTCTCCGGGAATAAAAAGCACACAGGCTAAAAAGACCCCTGAAAGGTTTGGCTGTGGGCAGGCCTCTCCGTTTAAGGTGAGCGATCACACGCGCCGCTTCTGTCCTTGCCGAGACGCGCAATAGATCACGCGTCTGGTTTATAAGAACCCTTTAAATCGTGCTCCTTGTGTTTTGGTTTTGAATAGCTATTATACAAAGTGTCTTGTCTTGCGAAAAAGTCTTGCGAAATTTCGCTGTGAAATACTTCACGCGAAAAAATTCCTTTGAATGCTTTTGTTGACCTCACGACATTGGAATGTAAATTTGGTAGCATGACAAAATGATATAGACTTTGATTGCCTGCTGAAGGGTTTCGCAAGCGAAAAGCGAAAAAAGTTAAACTCATTTTGACTTTTTTTCACAAAGAAATTCTTCACGAGAAATCCCAGCAATAGTTCATTGCTCATGCCCTTAAAGGCTGATTTCCACTAGGCGAATTCTTTCGCGCGAATCGAATTTTTGCCAATGTGAGCATGCGCGGTGTCATGTTCTCAAATTTCGCAGCGAAAAAATTCGATTCGCAGAAAGTAGATCACGGTCCTACTCTATCGCTACAAATATTTATTCGATTCGCGCGAAAGAATTCGCTTAGTGGAAATCGGCCTTAACGTATTTCCCGCGAATTTTTTCGCATTTTGCCGATTTTTTTCTCACTGGAGATTGGGCTTTATTGCCAAGTTAAAGCAAACACCTCTTGAATATATTTCCGGTCGATAACCAATAAAATTTCATTGTGATTCCTGATTGTTATAATTGGATTTCAACACAGTCACGCAACTTTACTCATTTATTCTTTCATAAATGTGCATGGAGACAGACTTGTGCTTTTTTTCGCTCCTTTTTCACGACAGAAGTTTTTTAAATGGCCAGTAATTCAAAGGGTCAAGCCATAGAGCTATCCACTTTTCGCAAGTATTGCAAGGACGAAGTTATCGGATCAAAGACCGAAGAAAGGAATGGGAAGACAATGGTGGTTTCGATTTGGTGTAAACTTTGCTCAGAACACAAAAACGTTATTTTTTTCAAATCCTTATTGTAAAGGAAGTGCCAGGAAAGCAATTGAATCCTACGTCAATGGAATGCATTTTGTAAGCAACCCACAGTTGTTGATGTTGATTCTTCCAATTCCTTGTCGATTCCGATTCTTTGTCGGAATTTGAGCTGGACATTGACGAACTACAACAATAATGTGTTTATTTTTTTGCTTTTAATGCTCAATTAAGTAGTTTGTTTAGAGATTTCTGGATACAAAGTATTTACATGCGAAAACATGCCGTTTTTGCCTACTTTAACGTAAATTTATTTTTTTGGTAAAACGCGTGCCTTACCAAGGCGAGGCGCGCGTTTTAGCACGCGCCCACTAAAATACTCACAGAGAGGAGGCCTGTGTGGGCTATTTAGCCCTTGCAGAATTTGTTGTTTATCTATTTATATTTGAGTATATACAAGCCAAAAAATAAATTATCTTGTCTACTTATAAACATGATCAATGTTAAGAAGACAGTTTTGTGTGTATTTCTACTCTAAAAAATGACAAAAGAGATCTCTAGTTTTGTTTGCGAAATTGCAACGTTTTTGTAGAAACGCAAATTAATTGAGTAGTATCCAACAAAACTCATCTTTATCAAAAAAGATAAAGAGCAGTACAATGAGCAGTACAATGAGCAGTACAGTGTAGTGGAAGATAAGTTGATTGGCATTAAAAATTCAAGAGAGAATAACTGAAATACACTTCTTTTCTATTAGAATGAAGGTCGACTTGGAGTACTCCAGTTTCTTAATAGTATAGGAAATTCCAATACACATTTTTTCTTAAGAGTTTCTTAATCTGAAAAAGCACGGAAGAGCGAAAAAATAACATGATAAAAATTGGCGAATAACATGTACATAAACCTCAAAGTATAAAGGGAAGCAAAAATGTGGATCAAAAATAACGAGAGAGTTCAGCAAGGGTGAATGATTGGTTTTATGTTTTGACAAATCCCAACCGCTTGTATCTCTCACCTTGAGTCAAAGAGCAAAAACGAATTATTTCTGAAACTTTTTAATTTTTTTTCCAATTGAAATGTTGTAATTTCTTATAGAGTGTTTCTTATAAAAAATGAGTGTGTTTGTTAAGGCTGGTTTCCACTTGGCGAATTCTTTCGCGCGAATAGAATTTTTGCCAGTGTGAGCATGCGTGGTGTCATGTTCTCAGATTTCGCAGCGAAAAAATTCGATTCGCAGAAAGTAGATCACAGTCCTACTATATCGCTATAAATATTTATTTGATTCGCGCGAAAGAATTCGCCTAGTGGAAATCGGCCTTTACATAAATTTCGTACTTGACAATGTTGTGTAACAATTCTCATTCTTGCTGTTTTACGCTATCTGTTGTTCCTTTCCTGCACAACCATTTACTACTCCATTGCTAGTTTTAACAGGTAATACTATAGTTTGTTAACACTTGATGTCAAACAAAGCAGAAATTTCTTTTTTATAATGATATATATATATATATAAAAATACCATACATCTCTTCGACATGACGTTATTTATGAACACCCTGATATATAGTGGTAGGTAGTTAAAACCTTAAAGAGTGAGACGCAGCCGATTCTTTGTGTGCGTTGTTATAAACAACTGTTGGGCAGGCCTGAGTTCTATAGCCCGCGTCTCTGGGAAAGGCTTGAGTTCATCCTGTTGAAACCACACATTTTTTAAAGGTCTTCCAAAACTTACTGGTTTTTTTACAACTTGATTGCTTCTAGTAGATACTTAACAGACTTTTGTTTAATAGTAGGAAAAACACTGTAACAAAAGTTTGACTGTTTGAGTAACCTTCAAATTGGTGTTTATTTTGATAAATTAATGCAAATAGATCAGTAAAGAATAGCCAAAAATGCATTTCCTTAGAATTTATATATACTTGTTTTTCTGTTTAATTGCAGCTAGCTAATCTTGCCTATGAACTGAATCACTGGCAGGAGGTGAGTTGATTTTCTTCATTCCTGATCTACATGGTTGCCGTTTTTAATAAGATCAATCATACACATTAAACCTCCTGCAAATAATTGTGGCACATGACAAAAGAGTTTAGTTGGTTGCATAAAATTTTTGCAATTTCATCATAATCATCAAGGAGAAACAGTATATTGACAGTCTAATTCTTCTCTTATATGATCAATGTAAGTGATGATAGAACTAAAATATGTTAAAGGAATATGGAATTTGACAAATGGAATAGAAAGATGGATATAAGAGCATGAACAAGAAATATATAGAAAGAGCTAATGATAATATATATATACATACATATACATTATTATTTATTTAAAAAATTATTTTTTAAAAAAAGGGATTCTTGGTACAATTTTCTTGGTACAATTTACTTACATTGAAAGTATTATAGTCTTATTTTTCTCTCCAGTTACCCTGTAAGAAAATTACGATGACATAACATTTAATGTTTCCTGAAGACTAATATTCTAATTTAATTTGTTTCCATTCAAATTGATTTTAGTCAATGTAATAACTACTTATCGATATGCATGAAATGTTTTATATCTGAGAAAGAAGGAGTTTTGCCTAACTTGTTAATGAGAACAAAGAATCCATAGCAAGAATATGCAATATGATTATGAAGTTATTTTGTTTACTGCAATAAAAATTTCCATGTACATTCCAATGCAATACAAATGCCACCAGGAGAGCCAGTAAAAGATTATCACTGTACACAGAAAGTAGGTTTTCATGTACTAATTTCTTCAATTTTAGGCGGAAGAGCTTTTCAAAGAAGTGTTGCAAAGAATGCTTGATGTTGGATCTGAAAAGGTGAAACATTTTGCTTTATTTTGCTTTTCCTCTTGGAAATATACCTTGTATCAATATTAAGAAAAATAAACCTTGTAACAATATTAAAGAAAATATACCTTGTATCAATATTTAGAAATATATACCTTGGAAATATTAAGAAAAATATCATAACATGAATTTCACACTGTGTCTATATCTATCAGCATGATATTTCTTCTTGTTTGATTTTCTTATGTATTTGTGTATATTTTTGCTTTAAACTATAAGTTCTAAGATAGTTAAGTTAGAATGTTATTATCTGTGCCTTTGCTAAATTGTTGAATATTTGAGCTATTGTTTTCTAGAATGTTCTAATGTATTGATTTCTTTTTATCCAAAATCTTTTTGCAACAATGCCATGAAACAGCCAATCTAGTTTATATGCAAATCTGTGCATGTTTCAGTCCCTCTTCTTTATTACTTATGTCTATATAGCTAATAGTTTACACTGCTTTTCTCCAGGAGAGTGATGCTGTCATCGAAGCATCATTGAAACTAGCCAAGGTGTATTCCTATTTGGGAAAGTAAGTAATTTTTCATTGCTGCTTAATTGCTTTTCTTCAGTATCTGATATTAAAATACAGTAGAATCCTGCAGTTAAAATTTCTGTAACGACAAAGAGAAAAGTTTGTAGTGACAGGAGTATTCAAGGGAACCAGATTTTTAGTTGCTAATGGGGATAAGCTGACATAAGTGAGGTGGGTAACAGAGAGATTTCACTGTATATAGCTAACTTCCTGGAACCATGGCACCACTTTTAGAAAGCAGTTTTTCAGGAATGTGAATAATAACTCAATAGATGTGTGTACCAATAATATTTTTTGAATTGTCTTTGAGATGTGAATGTTTTTAGAATATAAGGAATTTCATTGAATTTCCAAAGTTGGTTCAAATTTTTAAAAAGATTTGTTGTTTTTTGTAAGAGAGCTGTTGTTTAAAAGAGAGCTGTGTCCTTTGTCAGTTTCCAAGGCTTATTTGGCAAACTTATAATTGAAAGTTATCAGCCTTATGGTGTCTGCATGTTTTTTGTTGGGAAATTTTGTAAAATTCTTTCATGACACCAAGAAGTCAAATTTCCTACTTTTCTATTCTGCTGACTGAAATAGGCCTAATTTTAGTTGTAAGCTAGTAGCAGACTTAGTTTTCTTCAAAAATTCTAATAAAGATATATTAGAAGTTTATTTTCACCCTAGCATGGAGCTTGCAACAGAGGGCTTCCAGTTTTGTATGGATACACTAGAAAACAAGATACAGGCAATGCAGGATATTCCTGATGACACGTAAGTTGCTTTTATCTTTACTTTAAGCTTCTTTACCTTGTTAGTTAGTCCAGGTATAAAAACATATCGAACTTGTTTGGAACAGTCCACTTATTCTTGCTTGTAGTGGAATCCGCATCTCAAATTTTTATACAAGTAGTATTGTGTTTGTAGCTACCTAGGTTCCCAAGGTAGCTTTTAAGGGCACCTAGAAGTTATGCTTATCGAGCAGTATCCTACAATGCCCGCCAAAAGTGTTGGAACAGTTCAATCATCTTTCCTACTAAACGTCTCCCCTCCCCCCATATACAATGTTGGATTGCGACTGGAAAATTACAACAAATGTATGCTAGCGCGCAAATTTTGTAACACATGTTTAGCGACATGTTCATCCTTCTTCACAACATTGTATAAGGGGGGGGAGGGGGTTCCGTCTGCTTGAAAAAGAGAAATGAACTGAAAAATATACATTTATTACGAGTACAATCTCGGTGTTCCAACTACTTTTGGCGGGCATTGTAGTCCTTCTTCTCAATGTGACCATACCTCATGATTAATACGCCTGGAATTACAGAGAGCTAACAACTCAAGTCTTACCTCGCTCTAAGTGAAAATTTGATCATTCCGATGACTCAAACCACAGACTCTTGGTCTGTAGTCTGTGACCCTATTCACTGAGCTATCTGTTAAAATAAAGTTTTGTTGACTATAAACCACCCTAAGACTCTGTGAATTCATTTGAAACTGTGAATATTTAATTTGCTTTATATTTGTAGGCTAGCCCTGCTTGGAATGACTCTCACAGAATATGGCACTCATTTTAAAGCCATTGGTAGATTAGATGAATCAGAAAGAGCTTTTTCAAGGGCTCTTGCAATTGCAAAACAAGTGCTAGGACCCTCGCATGAACAGGTAATCCATTTTACAATCAGCATTTTAAACAAGTTGAAATCGATACGTGTTGGAATATTTTAGGATTTTCCCAACAGGCGAGGCAGTAGTGGTTGCAGCATCTCTTATTACGGGTGAAATACGTAGCCTAACTCTACTGTTTAAGATTTAAAATGATTGAAAGATAATTTTTTGGGAGAAAATATCAATTGCACAATGATTGTGTCTGAAAATAACTGAATTTGGCATTTTTAGCGCTATCTGCAGAACTTCTACTAGCATTACAGTAGACAAATAATAACTATGAATGTAAATAAATTGTACCAGGAATAAATGATAGATTTAATGAATATGGTCAACATACAAAGTTGTTCATTTACTTGTGTATAATAAATCTATTATTTATTACTGGTACAATGTACTTACGTTCATACTTATTATATCATTATAATGTACCAAACGCAATCCAGTATATTACAATATACACTCTGCATTATGCAAAACTTTTGCTGCCTTTTGTTACCAAAGTCATGTGATGTTTTTAAACTTTTAGTCTGAAGAAATGTATTTCTTTACAGACATCTGTTATAACCAATGACTTAGCCACAGTTTATGATGAGAAAGGAAGGTACAATAAAGCTGAGCGCCTTGTGCAAAAAGCCATTTCAATCGCAAGAACAACTTCGCCGGAGAACCTTCCTGCTTACACTTACAACCTCGGTGCCATTCTCATGCACAAAGGTAATTTCCCTTGCTTAGTATTTACCCTCGTCTTAACGTACAAAGTTGCTTATTTACTTGTGTATATAGGGAGGGGGAGAGGGCGAAAGAGATTAGTTCCAGAGTGCATAATATGGTAGCCGAGCTGTAAAAGCTTCGACTAATAACATATTTCACATGACCCACAATTTTCGAAACATTTCATTGAACACGAATGCTTTGATTCATTGCTTTGGTTGCATGATCCGTTTCCACAGTCCAGGGCTTCATCAGAGCAAGAAATGTTAGCCAAAGTGTGTTTATTGTTGTCTGTTCTCGGTGCGTTGTGGTGTTCCTTAATTGCTACATTATAACTTGGACTTTGATAATGGGAACAAATTTTGGTTCCCTTGGATGTTTCTCGTACTATCGTACATGGACTGTGCTCATGAAACGGATAGCCCTCCATGCTCAGGTATTTTTGCGAGTACCATTTCAGTCGCTGACGTAGTAACTTTTTCTATTGATAATGACAAGAATACAAGAGTAATCTTAGGATTTATGCTAATATCTTTAATTTCACAGGGGAATTTTCTAGAGCCAAAAAAGCACTTAGGCAGGCCTTACGACTTGCCGAAGAAAACCAGGATGAAGAAACCTTAGAACTTATTAAAAATAGTATGCTGAAATTGGATGTCGATACATCCTAGATGCAATGCAACAAATTATGTTTATCACGTCATCTATTTAAACTTAATATAACAAAACACGTTGATTGACTATGTTTGCGTAAGTCTAGCCTCAAAGGCTGTGATCGACTACCCCATATGTCGTATGTTTTGAGTCTTGTCGGAATGTAGTCTTAGTTTCTCCTGATCGTCGTATGGTTTGGGTTGCCATCAACCTCAAAAACAGGGTCCAGAGAAGTATTCAGCCTGGACTTCTTTGATCTTTGAAATTCTCCTGAGAAAACAATGAAAGCAGAGGGTGGGGTTTTGGTGTGCCAGTATGGTTTCCTTGTCCTTGTTCTTCCTCACCGTCGTTGTCGGTGTGACCGCCCACGGCTATTGACCATGTTGCCGCGCACGGCGGTTATTGGCCGTGTGAGCGCCTTGTTTTCTAGACTCTGATCCATAAAAAAGGCCTACAGAGATTCTCTGATAGTTTATGGAACGTAAGTAAAGGAATTAAAGGAATTGGTCACCCTCGAAGGAATTGGTGCTGAGAAGGGCAATTTTAATTTTCATTGGCTCGATGCAGCTGTTGAATTTTAGGAGCATGCCCACTTGTTGTAAATTCAAACACTCTCTCGTGATTTGTCAATATCATCGTATATCATAGACATCAAGTTTCTGATTGCTGTTGCTTAGTAGTAAATTTCATCAAAACGTCTGTCCTTACTGCATGAACCTGCAGAATTATTGTATGACATATTGCCTATTTTTATAATTGGTCTCTTAACGCCAATCCTATTTTGTTTAATGTATCTTATTTGCTTTGAGTGCACAGATTTAGTTTTGTGTTGTTTTTAAGAGAGCCTTGTCAGACCCACATCTCTCGGCTTTAGGCGATACATTTAAGAACAAGCACTACTATAATTTAAGATCGAGTGTTTAACTTGTCGTTATTTCATATTTTCCTGCAGTGACGTAAATGCATATGGGTTCAAGTTAGTCCTTTTCGACTTGTATTTTTGTGTGCCCATTTGATCTGATGTTTTAGAACTCCCAATGTGCACGTTAGTTTCTTTCGTCGTCAATCTTTATGGCAACATTTCATTGCCTTGTTGTCAATGTTTTTGTCCTCTACCATGCCCTAGTCTTTCATACAGAATTTTTATAATTGCATTTGCAATCACTTCTTGAAATGACGTATTTGGTGCATAACATAGGATTTGATTGATTTCGTTAAATTAGAAAGGCAGAATATTTGCTTTTGCTCGTTTGCTGTGCTCTATAGTCACTAGTCACCGTGAAAGTGAGTGTGTCAGCAGTATAGCACAGCATATTCAAGTAATCGGCCTTAATGCTTATCAAGGTCTGCACCACTTTCTATTAAATACATTGGATCGTTGTCATGGTGAAATATCGAGGCCAGAAAATAGTGGAAATGACAAGTCTTACCAGATTAGCTTATTGACAACAAAACAAGGATAGGATACAATTAAAGTTACGCCTCTGAAAAAAACCTTTTCAAATCTTTATAAGAGAATAGGAGAACACGATGTTTTGATATTTTTTTAAAAGATTGCAACTTATTCTTTTCAGTGCTTTTCTCCTGGCGAACGCACAACTTCGCATTTTAAATCAATAATTTTTTTACTATCAAAATCATTTTACTGAGTGAAAAGCAACAAAGATAGACTTGAAATGGCTTTCCTGTGCTTCGAAGGTCAAGGTTTTTTACATGGACAGCTCAGAATGGTCCCAAAGGACACTAAGAACAGTTTAAATGTTTTTGTCTAGCAGGAGAAAGATTGTAATTAAATGTAACCAAAATCAAAGCCCTAGAAAAAATTCTTTTTCAAAGATCAAGATTTTGTCCCAAAAAGCATTTGAAAATGACCCTACAGAACTCAGGAAATGGTTTAAAAGTACTTTGTAGCTTAAAAAGTTGATAAAAATTGCATCTACACAAATAAGAGAGGCCAACATTTTTTAACAAAATCAAAGCCTATAGCCTTAGAAAAATCGTCATTTTTCAAGGTCAAAGTTTTTTAAGAAACACTTAAAAATAGCCCTTCACAGGTCTGAATATAATTTCAATGTGTTCTAGAGGTAAGGATATTAATGTGAGTAGCATATTTACCTTAAAAAATCGAGTAACATTTTCTTGCAAAATCAAAGCCTATAGCCTTAGAAAATTCGTCACTTTTTTGGGGTCAAAGTTTTTTTCAGAAACAGTTGAAAAAAGCCCTTAACAGCTCTGAATATTATTTCAATGTGTTCTACAGGTAAGGATATTAATGTGAGTAGCATATTTACCTTAAAAAATCGAGTAACATTTTCTTGCAAAATCAAAGCCTATCATCATCATTAGCCTGTCACACCACTGCTGGCGGATGGCCTCCACATCTTTCTCCACTCATCACGGTTTTGGGCACTCCGGGTCCACGTGCTGCCTGCCTTCTGCTCGATCTCATCTCTCCATCTTCTCTTTGGTCTTCCCTTTCCTCTCTTCTTGTCCCACGGAGTCCATTCTGTCGTTTTCTTAGCCCATTCGTGGTTCTTCATTCGTGCTACATGTCCTGCCCACTTGCCTTTGGCTTCAATCACTTTCTCGATGACATCCTTCACCCCTGTTCTTGATCTTAAGTCTTCGTTCCTGATCTTATCTCTCCTCGTAACACCCAGCATTGATCGTTCCATGCTCCTCTGGGTGACTGCCAGTTTCTCTCTTTGGCGGTTGGTAAGTGACCATGTCTCAGCTCCATACGTCATTGATGGCAGTATGACAGTGTTCATGATCTTCCTTTTGAGACACATGGGCATTCTTTGATCTCTCAGAAACGTGCTGTACTGTCCGAATCTCTTCCAAGCAGATGTTACTCTCTCGTCTATTTCTTTCGCCATCTCATTTCCTGGTGTTAGCAGTCTTCCCAAGTACTTGTACTCATCCACCTCCTCCAGTTGTTCTCCATCCACAATTATTCCTTTCCTTCTTCTTTTCCTAGCTATTTCATTGCACATGATTTTCGTTTTCTTTCTGTTCATTTTCATGCCATCTTTTCTCCCTTCCTTGTTCAGATCGTTGATCAGCTTGCTGAGATCCTCTTCCTTTTCTGCAAATAAGATGATATCATCTGCAAATCTCAGGTTGTTCAATCTCTCTCCGTTGATGTTAATTCCCACTTCAACTTCCATTCTCCTGAATATTTCTTCCAACGCTGCTGTGAACATCACTGGTGACAAGGTGTCTCCTTGCCGCACTCCCTTCATGATCTTAATCTTTCGGCTAAGTGATTCGTTCTGAACCTGAGCAGTGCCTCCATCATATGTCTCTTTCAGGATGTTGATGTACTTCTCCTCTACGCTGTGCTGTTTTAGCGCTTCAAAAACAGCCTTGTGCAGTACAGAATCAAAGGCTTTTTCGTAGTCTACAAACGCCATATGAATGGGTATTTTATACTCATTGGTTTTCTCGAGTATTTGCACTACTGACTGCAGATGGTCGATGGTTGAATGACCTCTTTTGTAGGCAGCTTGTTCTGGCGGCTGGTGGTCACTCAGATTGTTATTCAACCTGTTTTTCAAGATCTTCATGAAGAGTTTGTAGACTTGGGAGAGTAAACTGATTGGTCTATAATTAGCAAGGTCTTTCTTGTCTCCTTTCTTAAATATGAGTGCTATAATGGCATTTTTCCACTCGTTGGGTATCTTTTCTTCAGTCATCACTCTATTGAAGAGTGTTCTCAGCTTTGATCTCACAACTTCACCTCCGGCTTTGAGCATTTCAATCACAATCTGATCTTCTCCAGGTGCTTTGTTATTCTTCATACCTTTTATGGCATGCTCGATTTCACTATCAAGGATTGGTGGTACATCCTCTGCTTCTTCTTTTCTGATGTTCTGGGCTGCATCTTTGTATAGCGTTTCATAGAATTCTGCGCACCTCTCAAGTATTCTCTCTCTGTTGGTGATGACGGTTCCATCTTGCTCTTTCAATGCTGGTATAAGAACTTTGCAGCCTTCTTTTTCTTTTGCTCTTTTCAATCCTTTCCCACTCTCAATTGCCTCCTTCACTCGCATGGTGTTGTGCTCTCTAAGATCTTCTCTCAATCTCTTCCTGATGGTTTGACATAATTTGTTGTACTCTCTTCTCTCCTGGTCATTCAGATCTTTCTTTGCCATTGCTCTCCTTTCTTTTAGCAGTTTTTAGTTTCCTGCTTGAGCTTCTCCTCTCGCCGTCTTTCCTCTTTTCCTGCTGTTTCCATAGCACATTCCTTAATGGTCTTTGTGATGTTAAGTGCCATTTCCTCCACACTGTCTTCTTCTTGCAAGGCTTCAAAGCGATTTTGCAACTCCAGTTGAAATTCATTCTCTCTTTGTTTCAGGGCGTTGATGTTTACTTTCATTCCTTTTGGTCTCATCATTTTCATTCTTTCCAGTCTTGTATTCATTTTGATCTTACTTCTGACCATTCTGTGATCACTACCGATGTTTACCCTTTTTATGACATTGACATTCTGGATCATGTTTTTGTTTGCCAAAATATAATCGATCTCGTTCCTGGTTTCGCCATTAGGACTTATCCAGGTCCATTTTCTGATCTTCCTCTTCCTGTAGAAGGTATTTCCGATCTTCAAACCTTTTGATTTTGCAAATTGCATCAGTCTGGTTCCCCTTTCGTTCCTTTCTCCAAGACCAAACTTTCCAACTGTCGCTCCGTCGCTTTGATGATGTTGTCCAACCTTTGCATTAAAGTCACCCATTACGATCTTGTATTGACTTTTATTCTTCTCCATTGATTTTCCAATCTCCTCATATAGCTCTTCAACTTCTTCATCATTGTGACTCGATGTTGGCGCATACACTTGTATTACTTGTAGTTGGTATTTGCTGTTCACTTTCAGTGTAAGCGACGTCACTCTGCTGCTCTCTCCTTTGTACTCTATAACTCGGTCCTTGATGTTCTTGTTGACCAGAAAGCCAACTCCTCCAACAGATTCGTTCCCTCCTATTGTGTACAGCACATGCCCACTTTGCAACTGTTTCAGTTGCTCTCCTTTCTTTCGTGTTTCTGACAGTCCAATGATGTCCCACTTGAAACCTATCAGCTCTTGCTCTAGCTCCTTCTCTTTCTCTGGATCTTTCAATGTTCTCACGTTGTAGGTGCAAATATTTAATTGTACTCTTGAAACCCGGGGATTCTTAGCACCCTCTGCCTTTCGGCTGCCGGGGACTGAGGGCCGTTTTGTGTTGCGTGTATTCATGTTGTGGGTGTGAACCATGACTCACCACGCTGGTTCAGTGCGGATTGGTGAGTTGCCTGCACCCTTGATTTCTCAGGGGTGTAGGACTATGAGGCAGGTAGTACGAGGTTACATTTTACTCGTAGCAGACTTAGAGCCTGACCTGACCAATAGCCTTGACAATGACAATGACAATGACCAAAGCCTATAGCCTTAGAAATATCGTCATTTTTTAGGGTTAAAGTTTTTTTCAGAAACACTTGAGAATAGCCCTAAACAGCGCTGAATATTATTTCAATGTGTTCTACAGGTAAGGATATTAATGTGAGTAGCATATTTACCTTAAAAATTCGAGTAAAATTTTCTTGCAAAATCAAAGCCTATAGCCTTAGAAAATTCGTCATTTTTTTGGGTTAAACTTTTTTCAAAACAGTTGAAAATAGCCCTTAACAGCGCTGAATATTATTTCAATGTGTTCTACAGGTAACGATATTAATGTGAGTAGCATATTTACCTTGAAAAATCGAGTAAAATTTTCTTGCAAAATCAGAGCCTATAGCCTTAGAAAATTCGTCATTTTTTGGGGTTAAACTTTTTTCAAAAACAGTTGAAAATAGCCCTTAACAGCGCTGAATATTATTTCAATGTGTTCTACAGGTAAGGATATTAATGTGAGTAGCATATTTACCTTGAAAAATCGAGTAAAATTTTCTTGCAAAATCAAAGCCTATAGCCTTAGAAAATTCGTCATTTTTTGGGGTTAAGCTTTTTTCAAAAACAGTTGAAAATAGCCCTTAACAGCGCTGAATATTATTTCAATGTGTTCTACAGGTAAGGATATTAATGTAAGTAGCATATTTACCTTAAAAAATCGAGTAACATTTTCTTGCAAAATCAAAGCCTATAGCCTTAAAAAATTCGTCATTTTTTAGGGTTAAAGTTTTTTTCAGAAACACTTGAGAATAACCCTTAACAGCTCTGAATATTATTTCAATATGTCCTTCAGGTAAGGATATTAATGTGAGTAGCATATTTACCTTAAAAATCGAGTAACATTTTCTTGCAAAATCAAAGCCTATAGCCTTAGAAAATTCGTCATTTTTTAGGGTTAAAGTTTTTTTCAGAAACACTTGAGAATAGCCCTTAACAGCGCTGAATATTATTTCAATGTGTTCTACAGGTAAGGATATTAATGTGAGTAGCATATTTACCTTAAAAAATCGAGTAACATTTTCTTGAAAAATCAAAGCCTATACCGTTAGAAAATTCGTCATTTTTTTGGGGTCAAAGTATTTTTCAGAAACAGTTGAAAAAAGCCCTTAACAGCGCTGAATATTATTTCAATGTGTTCTACAGGTAAGGATATTAATGTGAGTAGCATATTTACCTTAAAAAATCGAGTAAAATTTTCTTGGAAAATCAAAGCCTATAGCCTTAGAAAATTCGTCATTGTTTAGGGTCAAAGTTTTTTTCAGAAACACTTGAAAATAGCCCTTAACAGCTCTGAATATTATTTCAATGTGTTCTTCAGGTAAGGATATTAATGTGAGTAGCATATTTACCTTAAAAATTCGAGTAAAATTTTCTTGCAAAATCAAAGACTATAGCCTTAGAAAATTCGTCATTTTTTTGGGTTAAACTTTTTTCAAAACAGTTGAAAATATCCCTTAACAGCGCTGAATATTATTTCAATGTGTTCTTCAGGTAAGGATATTAATGTGAGTAGCACATTTACCTTAAAAATTCGAGTAAAATTTTCTTGCAAAATCAAAGACTATAGCCTTAGAAAATTCGTCATTTTTTTGGGTTAAACTTAACTTTTTTCAAAAACAGTTGAAAAATATCCCTTAACAGCGCTGACATATTATTTCACATGTGTTCTTCAGGTAAGGATATTAATGTGAGTAGCACATTTACCTTAAAAATTCGAGTAAAATTTTCTTGCAAAATCAAAGACTATGCCTTAGAAATTCGTCATTTTTTGGGTTAAACTTTTTTCAAAAACAGTTGAAAATATCCCTGACAGCTCTGAATATTATTTCAATGTGTTCTCAGGTAAGGATATTAATGTGAGTAGCATATTTACCTTAAAAATTCGAGTAAAATTTTCTTGCAAAATCAAAGACTATAGCCTTAGAAAATTCGTCATTTTTTTGGGTTAACCTTTTTTCAAAAACAGTTGAAAATCCTTAACAGCGCTGAATATTATTTCAATGTGTTCTACAGGTAAGGATATTAATGTGAGTAGCATATTTACCTTGAAAATCGAGTAAAATTTTCTTGCAAAATCAAAGCCTATAGCCTTAGAAAATTCGTCATTTTTTTGGGGTCAAAGTTTTTTTTCAAAACACTTGAAAATAGTCCTTCACAGCTCTGAATATTATTTCAATGTGTTCTACAGGTAAGAATAGATTAATGTAGTAGCCATATATAACTCAAAAAACCGAGTAACATTTTTTTAAAAAATCGAAGCCTATAGCCTTAGAAAATTCGTCATTTTTTAGGATCAAAGTTTTTTTTTTTCTTTCAAAACACTTGAAATAGCCCTTAACAGCTCTGAATTACTATTTTAATGTTCTACATGTAAGGAAATTAATTGAGTAGATTTTTATCTTTAAAAAATCGAGTAACATTTTCTAAGGCTTATAGCTTCGTATTTGTGTAAAAAAATGTTACTCGGTTTTTTTGATGTTAAATAGCTACTCACATTAATAATTCTTTACCTGTAGAACAATGAAATAATATTCAAGAGCTGTTAAGGGCTTTTTTTGAAGTGTTTTTTGAGGGAAAAACTTTGACCCATAAAAAATGACGAATTTTCTAAGGCTTATAGGCTTGATTTTGCAAGAAAATGTACTCGATTTTTTAACGTAAGTATGCTACTCACAGAATATCTTTATCATGTAGAAACACATTGAAATAATATTAGAGCTGTTATAAGGATATTTTCAAGTGCTTTCTTGATAAAAAACTTTGACCCTAAAAATGAAGAATTTTCTAAGGCTATAGCTTCGAATTTTGTTAAAAAAATGTTACCTCGGGTTTTTTAGTTAAATTAGCTACTCACATTAACTATTCTTACCTGCATAGAAACCATTAAAATAATATTCAGAGCTGTTAAGTGCTTTTTTGAAGTGTTTTTGAGGAAAAACTTTGCACCTACAAAAATTCATGACGAATTTTCTAGGCTATAGGCTTGATTTTTGCAAGAAAAAGTTACTCGATTTTTTAACGTAAGATTATGCCTACTTCACATGAATATCTTATCTGTAGAAACACATTGAAATAATATTAAGAGCTGTTAAGGAATTTTCAAGTGCTTCGATAAAAAACTTTGACCCTAAAAATGAAGAATTTTCTAAGCTATAAGTTTGATTTGCAAGAAAAATGTTTACTCGATTTTTTAAGATAAATATGCTACTCACATTAATTTCCTTACATTAGGAACACCATTTGAAATAGTATTCAGAGCGTATAGGGTTATTTTCAAGTGTTTTCTGAAAAAAAACTTTGATCCTTAAAAAAGACGAATTTCTCTAAGCCTATAGGCTTCGATTTTGTTAAAAAATGTTACTCGGTTTTTGAGTTAAATATGCTACTCACATAATATCTACCTGTAGTAAACACATTGAAATAATATTCAGAGCTTTTAAGGCTATTTTCAAGTTGTTTCTGAAAAAAACTTTTGATCTAAAAAATACGAATTTTCTAAAGGGCTTATAGGGCTTCGATTTTTAAAAATGTAACTCGGTTTTTTGAGGTGTAAATATGCACTCCACATTAATATCCTTACCTGATAGAACACATTGGCATTATATTTTCAGAGCTGTTAAGGGCTTTTTGAAGTATGTTCTGAAAAAAAAACTTTGACCTTAAAAAATGACCGAATTTTCTAAGGCTATTAGGCTTCGATTTTGTTAAAAAATGTACTCGTTTTTGAGGTTAAAATATTGCTACTTCACTTAAATCCTTACTGATAGAACACACATGCAATTATATTGAGACTGTTAAGGGCTTTTTGAAGTGTTTCTGAAAAAAAACTTTGATTCTAAAAAAATGACGAATTTCTGAAGTTA